TCAAATTTATTCTTAAGTCTTTTATTCTTTTTGATGCTACTATTTCTTAATTTCCTTTTGGGATTGTTCACTTCTGGTGCATAGAAATACACTCATTTCTGTATATTGATCTTGTGTCTTGCAACCTGCTGAACTTATTTAGTTCTATGAGTTTTTTGATGGATTCTTTTGGATTTTCTATATAAGATCTTGTCATCTGCAAATAGAGATAGTTTTACTTTTTCCTTTCCAATCTGAATGCCTTTTACTTCTTTCTCTTGCCTAATTGCTCGGGCTAGAACTTTCAGTACATGTTGCATAGAAGTGGCAAGAGCAGAAATCCTTTTCTTGTTCCTACTCTTAGAGGGAAAGCATCAGTCGTTCACCATTGTTAGTATGATTTTTTGTAGGTGTCCTTTATGAGGTTGAGGAAGTTCCCTTCTATTCCTACTTTGTTGAGTGTTTTTATCTTGAAGAGATGTTGGATTTTGCCAAATGCTTTTTTGTGTCTATTGAGCTGATTATATGACTTTTATCCTTTGTTATATTCATACAATGTATTACATTAATTGCTTTTCTAATGTTATATCAACATTGCATTCCTTTGATAAATCCCATTTAGCCGTGGTGTGTAATTCTTTTTATGTGTTGCTAGATTCAATTAGCTAGTCTTTTGTTGATGATTTTAATGTTTATATTCACATGATGTATTTTTCTGTAGTTTTCTTTCTTTTGTGATATCTTTGATTTTGGTATCAGGGCAATACTGTCTTCATAGAGTAAGTTGGGAAGTGTTCCTACCTCTTCTATTTATTGGAAGAGTTTGTGAGGAATTGGTATTAATTCTTTTAATCTTTGGTAGAATTCACCAGCGAAGCAATCTGGGCCTGGGCTTTTCTTTCTGGGTGGTTTTTTGATTACTGATTCAATCTCTTTACTTTTTATAGATCTATTCAGATATTCTATTTCTTCTTAAGTCAGCTTTCGTAGTTTGTGTCTTTTTAGGAATTTGCCCATTTCATCTTAAATTGTCCATTTTATTGGCATAGAATCAGTGATAATATTCCTTTATAATTCTTTTTATTTCTGTAAGATCAGTGGTAATGTCCATGGTGGATGAGCTTAGGGTTTTTTTGTTTTGTTTTGTTTTATTTTCTTTTTTATTAAGATTATGATAGATTACAACCTTGTGAGATTTCAGTTGTACATTATTGTTAGTAATGTTGTGGGTACACTACTTCACCCTTTGTGCCCTCCCCCCAACCCCCCTTTTCCCTGGTAACCATCGATCGGTTCTCCATGGCTATATGTTAACTTCCACCTATAAGTGGGGTCATATAGAGTTCGTCTTTCTCTGTCTGGCTTATTTCACTTAACATAATACCCTCAAGGTCCATCCATGTTGATGCAAATGGAACAATTTGGTCCTTTTTTATGGCTGAGTAGTATTCCATTGTGTATATATACCATATCTTCTTTATCCAGTCATCAGTTTCTGGGCATTTAGGTTGGTTCCACGTCTTGGCTGTTGTAAATAATGCTGCGCTGAACATAGGGGTGCATGGGATTCTTGGGATTGCTGATTTCAGGTTCTTAGGATAGATACCCAGTAGTGGGATAGCTGGGTCATAGGGTATTTCTATTTTTAACTTTTTGAGAAATCTCCATACTGTTTTCCATAGTGGCTGCACTAGTTTGCATTCCCACCAACAGTGTATGAGGGTTCCTTTTTCTCCACAACCTCTCCAACATTTGTCACTTTTGGTTTTGGATATTTTTGCCAATCTAACGGGTGTAAGGTGGTATCTTCGTGTAGTTTTGATTTGCATTTCCCTGATGATTAGTGATGATGAACATCTTTTCATGTGTCTCTTGGCCATACTTCTATCTTCTTTGGAGAAATGCCTGTTCATGTCCTCTGCCCATTTTTTTGATCGGGTTGTTTGTTTTTTTGTTGTTAAGCTGTGTGAGTTCTTTGTATATTATGGATATTAATCCTTTGTCGGATAAGTAGCTTGTAAATATTTTTTCCCAATTAGTGGGCTGTTTTTTTGTTTCAATCCTGTTTTCCCTTGCTTTGAAGAAACTCTTTAGTCTGATGAAGTCCCATTTGTTTATTCTTTCTATTGTTTCCCTCATCTGAGGAGTTATAGTGTCTGAAAAGATTCTTTTGAAACTGATGTCAAAGAGTGTACTGCTGATATTCTCTTCTAGAAGACTTATTGTTTCAGGCCTAATCTTTAAGTCTTTGATCCATTTTGAGTTTATTTTTGTGAATGGTGAAAAAGAATGATCGATTTTCATTCTTTTACATTTTTTGTTTTTTTTTTAAGATTTTATTTATTTATTTTTTTCCTTTTTCTCCCCAAAGCCCCCCGGTACATAGTTGTATATTCTTCGTTGTGGGTCCTTCTAGTTGTGGCATATGGGATGCTGCCTCACTGTGGTTTGATGAGCAGTGCCATGTCCGTGCCCAGGATTCGAACCAACGAAACACTGCGCCGCCTACAGTGGAGCGCACGGACTTAACTACTCGACCATGGGGCCAGCTCTGAGCTTAGTTTTTTAATTTGTTTTTTGGTGAGGAAGATTGGCCCTGAGCTAACATCTCTTGCCAATGTTCTTTTTTGCTTGGGGAAGGTTATTGCTGAGCTAACATCTGTGGCAATCTTCCTCTGTTTCTTGTATGTGGGACACTGCCACAGCATGGCTTGATGAGCAGTGCCCAGGTCCATGCCTGGAATCTTAACCTGCAAACCCCAGGCTGCTGAAGCAGAGTGTGTGAACTTAGCCACTATGCCACCAGGCCGCCTCCATTTACCTTAGTTTTTAAGAGTGTAGGTATATGATGTGTAGAGAGTTGGGAAGAGGAAGAGCAATTCAGGAAGAGAAAAGGGCATGGGCAGTGGTGGAGAAGCAAGCAAAAGCATGACATTTTGGAACGTCTGTATGTGTTCTCTGTGGCTAGAGTCTAGGGGCATAAAGGGTACTGATAAGAAGTGAAACTGGAAAAATAGGCAGACAGGGGGTGAGGGTATCTCTTGGCCTATGCTGGTCATTTATGCTTTATCCTGTAGGCAGTGAAGAGTCATTTGTTTTGAGCACTTGAGTAACGTGATCAAATTTACCTATTGGAAAGCTAATTGTCAGGGAGTGGACGTGGATTAGAAGAGGGGGGTTAATTGGAGGCAGGGAAGCCTGTCTGTTTCTTGTAGGATTCACCAAAAATTTCAGAATGTAACCCTCTTCCTGTGTCATTCTGACATTTTTCTACTATGTCCCCTAAAGTTCAATAGGCTTATACATCATCTAATTCCTGTACTAAAATTTCAGGTAGTTTAACCAGCTGATTAACTACTGAGAGTACGAAAGTTACTAATTTCTTAAGCATTTTCCACCTCGGTTTAACTACTTGCAACACTTCTATTTCCTAAAAGTACTTCTGCTTCCTTAAAACACTTCCATGTCCTTAAAGAAAGAGAACTTTCCTTTCTACCAGCATCCTGCTTAAATTGTGAAACCGCTCCTTGATCCAATCACTGTGGACAAGGAAACTGGAGTACCAATATTGGATCGGCCTAGGACACATGCCCATCTCCACAGCCAGGGGAAGCAGGGTAGTGTGATTGGCAGTCATGCCTGAATCCCACAGAGAGGGGCAGTTGAGATGGGATATGAGGGCCTGACCTAAGAATGTAGTTCAGATGAACATTTATTGGATGTTGTCCCTGGTCACTCTATCGTAAACTTAAAGAGGTTTGTAATGAAAATAAATAGCTGCACTCCTTTCCTATGTCTTTTCTTTGTATTTAGGTAGAAGAACAGTGTTGTTATACTTAAATAGAAGATAATGTTACTATTATTCACATAATTTTACTTGTTAGATAATTTGGGCAACTAGTTTATGATTTTTCTTACATTTCAATGGTGAAAGTAAGTTTCCAAAATATTTTCAAAAAAGTAATTTCACATTTTAAAATATTTGAGAATGTTGGAGTAGAAAAGGACCTTGAAAGTTTACTAATTCAGCCTCATCGTTTTATAGATGTTTTCATGTTTTTTATCCTCTTTCTATATTTTTCTTTTGATTCTGTATTTCTTTTGTTTATGTCTAATTAAAGTGAGGGAGTCTAACCCAGACCTAATGTTTTTGTGAAATGAATTTTAAAATTTTTATTTCTCAATTTTAAAAGGAACAGTGCAGGGCTGGCCTGGTGGTGGAGTGGTTAAGTTCATGCACTCTGCTTCAGCAGTCTGGGGTTCGTGGGTTCGGATCCCAGGCACAGACCCACACACTGCTCATCAAGCCACACTGTAGTGGCATCCCACATATCAAATAGAGGAAGTTTGGCACAGATGTTAGCACAGGGACAGTCTTCCTGAAGGAAAAAGAGGAAGATTGGCAACAGGTGTTGGCTCAGGGCCAATCTTCCCCACAAAAATAAATAAGGAACAGTGGGAGTTATATTTTAATTCTAAGAACTAAGTTTTTTTAATGGATTTTATTTTCTGTTGGTTAATAGCTTTCAAGTAATTAAAGAGTGTTTATGTACTTGTCTTTTCAAAAATTAAAGATTGCCTTTCCGAGTCCTTAGGTATATTTTCTCTCCTTTAGAGTTCCCATCTTCCTAGCATGAAGAAAATAAAAAGACAATTCTTTATAAGCCAAATGATTCTTCCTGTTCCATCCAACTTCCTGAGCCTCAGGTCTGAACCACCTGCTTATCCCTTGTTCTCTGTCTTGTTCTTCCTTGCATCTGTTTTTGCACATCATTTATATTTGTCCATCTGCTCCCTAAAGACAAAGAGCTTAGAAGGGTCTCAGAGTAAGTTCTCTGTCAATCCATTTATGACATTCTGTCAGTGTAGCATTCTGCTTTGTACCTTCATTTAATGAAAAGTTTCTCCCTTTGTATTCATTTGAAAGTGTTCCCTCCTAGCTTGTTTTAAAGTCATTTGAAGATCTTGTTCTCACTAACACAGGGACATGGTAACATTGCATTTTTAATTCCTTTTACCAGAATGGGAGACCATGACCGAGAATGAGGAGGTGACATCAAAGTCAAGCATATCTCAAAGAGCAGATTCTCAGAAAGGAACATCAAAAAGGCTTCAAGGAGGTGTTCCCCAGGTCCTTAATTTTGAGGAAGAGTGTGAATGGCAAGTTTCGGCAAATCAATGGCGAAATGAAACAAGGGAAAGAGATACATTGAAGAAAGTTTCCTTCTGTGAACAAGACAAGAAGAAAAGGACTCCACCAGAAAAACGAAGCCAAAAGTGGAAGGAATTTGGAGAAAGCCTAAATTTAGGTTCAGCTCTTTCTGAAAGTTTAATAGATACTGAAGGAAAGAAGTGTCATAAATGTGATATATGTTGTAAACATTTCAATAAAATCTCCCATCTTATAAACCATCGGAGAATCCACACTGGTGAGAAACCTCATAAATGTAAAGAGTGTGGAAAAGGCTTTATTCAGCGCTCAAGCCTTCTAATGCATTTACGGAACCATTCTGGGGAGAAACCTTATAAATGTAATGAATGTGGGAAAGCCTTCTCTCAAAGTGCTTACCTCCTAAACCATCAGAGAATCCATACTGGAGAGAAACCTTATAAATGTAAGGAATGTGGAAAGGGCTTCTATAGACACTCAGGCCTTATTATACATCTAAGGCGCCATTCTGGGGAGAGACCTTATAAATGTAATGAGTGTGGGAAGGTTTTTTCTCAGAATGCTTACCTCATTGACCATCAGAGGCTCCACAAAGGAGAAGAACCCTATAAATGTAACAAGTGTCAGAAAGCTTTCATTCTGAAGAAGAGTCTCATTCTGCACCAGAGAATCCACTCTGGGGAAAAACCCTATAAATGTGATGAATGTGGAAAAACCTTTGCTCAGACCACTTACCTTGTTGACCATCAGCGACTCCACAGTGCGGAGAATCCATACAAATGTAAAGAATGTGGGAAAGTTTTCATTCGGAGCAAAAGCCTCCTCTTACACCAGAGAGTACACACAGAAAAGAAGACCTTTGGTTGTAAAAAGTGTGGGAAGGTTTTCAATTGTAAATCAAACCTCATTGACCATAAGAGGATGCATAGCAGAGAGAAGCCTTATAAATGTACTGAATGTGGGAAAGCCTTCACTCAGAGTGCTTACCTTTTTGACCATCAAAGACTCCACAATGGGGAGAAGCCCTATGAATGTAATGAGTGTGGGAAAGTTTTCATTCTGAAGAAGAGCCTCATTTTACATCAGAGGTTCCACACTGGAGAGAACCTCTATGAATGTAAAGACTGTGGCAAGGTCTTTGGTTCCAACAGAAACCTCATTGACCACGAGAGACTCCACAATGGGGAGAAGCCCTATGAATGTCGAGAGTGTGGGAAAACCTTCATTATGAGCAAGAGTTTCATGGTCCATCAGAAACTCCATACACAGGAGAAAGCCTACAAATGTGAGGATTGTGGGAAGGCTTTCAGTTACAATTCAAGCCTGCTTGTACATCGGAGGATCCACACTGGGGAAAAGCCCTTTGAATGTGGTGAGTGTGGAAGAGCTTTCAGTTCCAACAGAAACCTCATTGAACATAAGAGAATTCACAGTGGTGAGAAACCCTATGAGTGTAATGAATGTGGCAAATGCTTCATTCTGAAGAAAAGTCTCATTGGGCATCAGAGGATTCACACAAGGGAAAAATCGTATAAATGCAATGACTGTGGGAAAGTCTTCAGTTACCGCTCAAACCTTATAGCCCATCAGAGAATCCACACTGGCGAGAAGCCCTATGCGTGTAGTGAGTGTGGGAAAGGGTTTACTTATAACAGAAACCTTATCGAGCATCAGAGAATTCACAGTGGGGAAAAAACCTATGAATGTCATATATGTAGAAAAGTCCTTACCTCTAGTAGAAATCTTATGGTACATCAGAGAATCCACACTGGAGAGAAACCTTATAAATGTAATGAGTGTGGAAAAGACTTTAGTCAGAATAAAAACCTTGTTGTACATCAGAGAATGCACACTGGGGAAAAACCATATGAGTGTGAGAAATGCAGAAAATCTTTTACTTCTAAGAGGAATTTAGTTGGCCACCAGAGAATCCACACAGGGGAGAAACCATATGGGTGTAATGATTGTAGTAAAGTTTTTAGACAAAGAAAAAACCTTACTGTACATCAGAAAATTCATACAGATGAAAAACTCTGTGAATGTGATGAGTCTGAAAAAGAATTCTCTCAGTCTTCAAACCTTCGTCTTCAACACAAAATCCACACCGTGGAGGAATTCTCTTGGCTCCAAAATGCCAATGAGTCCAAGATAGAGATTCAGAAAATCTAGTATCATATATAAAATGAAATAGAATTCCTGCCTACTTAAGTAACTGTTGGAGAAATGACAGTATAATGTTTCTTATAAGGAAAAAAATCATGATTGATCCTTTTATAGACAAGTGAGTTACATGTGGAAAAAAGTTAATCTAGACTCTCAAGACTACAAATCTTAACCAAATTCTTGTTAAAGGATACTGTGTTGCAGACCATTTGTTATGATCTTAGAAAGGGACCTTGGAACAGTTGAGGACTCTGAAGAAACTACGTTTATGTCTTATAAGATGTAATGATGTAGTTGTAAATGATAGGAAAAATATCTTTGTATTAAAAAGTGTATGTTTCTGAAAAATGTGTATACTGTACATTTTAAAGATAGCACCACTGCTACACAAAGTCTAGTATGATGGAGACGTGTCAGACAGTGGGAGTTGGGTGGGCAAGTCTGCTGTTTGAGGACACCTTAAGAGCACTGGATTTCGAATCAGAAGACCTAGCTTTGGGTCCTGGCTCTTTCTCTTGCTAGCTATGTGATGTTATTAAGTCAGCCTCTAAGCCTCAGTTTCTCTGTCAGTCAAATATTGACATAATACCTACCTCACAGGGTTGTTGTGAAGATTAAGTGAAAGGATCTTTGTGAAAGTACTTTGTGAAATAATTTAGTTGTCAATAAAGTTGGATAACAGAGGTATGTTCAAAATTTAGAACATGGCAAAATATAACGTTTGTTCACTAAGTCAATATTAGGACCTCGTGAACCTCAAAAAAATACTCATTTTTATAGTAAGAGGGAGTACGATGGATAGCTAACTTAGGAATTTAGTATTCTAAGAAGACTTTTTAAAAATATAGCTTTAAAAATGTTTAAGTGAGTTAATAGACAATATGCATTGTTTGGTTTTATGGAAAAATATTACCTTATTGTGGAAAAATAATATTACGTCCATCTGTTAACATTGATGCCAAGGAAAACAATTTATTTTTCAACGTTTGCATTTGAAACCAAGCAGATGTAGTGTCAGAATGGAAGGACTGTCCTATGTTGCTTTCCTTGTTCACAGGGAAAAATCCTTAACTGCAACCCCTGAACTGATTATCCCTGCCACTGTCATTCTCAGTTCTAATCAGCATTTCATCACTGTTGACTTATGGTAGCTTGTTACTCAGGAAACAACATTCTGTCCCAGCACTTAACTTACTACATAAGTTTTTCACACAGAGCCAAGCCCTTCAAGCTCTGATTAAACTGATTCAGAATCCACCTCTGGGCGGTCAGGCTTATTACTCCTTGTGAACCAATCATTCATACAGTCTGTGTCCTTGTGTACATTTGTAGATTTAGTCCATCCTATATATATGCAGTTTTTTGGTGAGGAAGATTGGCCCTGAGCTAACATCTGTTGCCAATCTTCCTCTTTTTTTTTTCTTTTCTCCCCAAAGCCCCAGTACATAGTTATTGATCCTAGTTGTAGGTCATTCTAGTTCTTCTATTTATATTCTAGAGTTGATAATTTTGTGTTACAATTCTCTTAACTCCAATTCTGCAGTTGAACTGTAAATATCTTAATATCAGGATTGTGTTTTCTAATACTAGTAGCATTGAAGTGGTGTGTTGATTATAATAAGTGTTATTAATTCAACCCCAAAGTTCCTTGAGGGCTGGTTCCTCATTAGACCGACAGGTACCCAAGAGTGAAAACTGGAAGGGGCCCAAGGTTAAAGTCTTAAGACCTGGGTATGAGTCAGATTCTGCCACTTTCCTTGGACAAATACCTTCATTTTTTGGAGCCTTGATTTCCTCGTCTGTAAAACAGGAGGAAGAATATCTACCTCACAAAGTTGTTTTGAGGTAATGAATATGAACATGCTTTATATCCATGCTGTGGAAGAATCACTCCAGATTACGTAATAATTACAAAAGGAAAGACGTACCTTACCAGAGAGAAAGCTGGCATTTACCTTTTAACCAATTAACAAAATGTAACATCACTAAGACTAGGACAACCCACATAATGTGCTGCCTCATGTGATGGAATAAGCCAAAAGTATAATCTGAATTTATCAAGTTTCTTAGACCTAGTTGCCAGTTTACAGGAAATACAGAAGCAGAGGAACAAGATAAATGACACCATGAGAAACAAATTTAGGACATGGGATACTGTATAAGAAAACTGCAGGGGCGGGCCTGGTGGCGCAGCGGCTAAGTTTGCACGTTTGGCTTCTCTGTGGCCTGGGGTTTCCCGGTTTGGATCCTGGGTGTGGACATGGCACCGCTTGGCAAAAGCCATACTGTGGTAGGCGTCCCACATATAAAGTAGAGGAAGATGGGCATGGATGTTAGCTCAGGGCCAGTCTTCCTCAGCAACAAGAGGAAGATTGGCAGTAGTTAGCTCAGGGCTAATCTTCCTCCAAAAAAAAAAAAAACTGCATTGGATTCTTCAGAAAGATAGTACAATGAGAGGCTGGCCCCGTGGCTGAGGTGTTAAGGTTGTGCACTCTGCTTCGGCAGCCCATTGTTTTGCCAGTTTGGATCCTGGGCACAGACCTAGCACTGCCCTTCAAGCAATGATGAGGTAGCGTCCCACATGCCACAACTAGAAGGACCCACAATTAAAATACACAAGTATGTACTGGGGAACTTTGGAGAGAAGAAGGAAAAATTTTTAAAAATAAAAAAGATATTACAATGAAAAAGGAGGAGGGGTGATAATTGTTGAAGCTGGATTAATATTGAGAGTCCATTGTACTGTTCTCTGCTTTGTGTATGTAAGAAATTTCCATAGGGAAAAGTATAAAGTGGATGAGGGGGCTTGTTTTTAAGAGAGATTAAAGAGGCATAAGATACTAAGACAGGAATAGACACACACAAATGCCCATTTGATTTTTTACAAAGGTGCAAAAGCAATTGAGTAGAGGAGACATAACCTTTTCAACAAATGCTGCTGGACCAATTGGATATCCATAGGGAAAAAAAATTTAGGAACTAAAACTAAGTGAACACATATCTTAGACATATCAAAAGCATGTTCCATAAAAGGAAAAAAAGATAAATTAAGCTTCATCAAAATTAATTTGCTCTGCAAAAGACTCTTCTAAGAAGATGAGAATATGTTACAGACTGGGAGGAAATATTTGCAAATGATATATCCAACACAGGATTTCTATGTAGACTATACAAAGAATTCTCAAAACTCAACAGTAATGAATAGATCCAATTGGAAAATGGGCAAAAGACATGAACAGACATGTCACCGAAGTATAGATGGCAAGTAAATGAAAAGATGTTCAACATTATTAGCCATTAGGGAAAAGCAAGTTAAAAATCACTGCACACCTATCAGAATAGCTTAAAAAATGTTAACACCAGATGCTTTAAAAATGCAGAGAAACAGTCTCATATGTTGCCAGGAATCTTAAGCGGTAAGGCCACTCTGGGAAATAGTTGGATAGTTTCTTAGAAAACCAGCCATGCACTTACCATATGACCCAGTACTGGCACTCTTTAGCATTTATTCCAGAGAAATGAAAGCTTATGTTCCCACAAAAACCTGTACATGAGTGTTCACAGCAGTTTTATTCGTAATAGTCAAAATCTGTAAGTAACCCAGATATCATTCAACAGGTGGTTAAAACAAGTGTGGTATATCTACATCATGGATTTATATTACTCTGCAGTAGTACTCTGCAGTAAAATGGAATGACCAATTGATACCTGCATTGAGTCAAGTGAATTTCAAGAGAATTACGTTGAGTGAAAAAGTCCAATATCAAAAGGTCATATACTGTATGATTCCATTTATTTAATATTCTAAAATGGCAAAACTATAGAGATTGAAAAACAGATTAGTGGTTGCCTGAGGTTGGGGATGGTGGGAGGGAGCGAGGGGAAAGGGAGTGGTAGGGCTAGAGAGGTCTTTGTGATGTTGCAACAGTTGTGTTTCTTGATTGCGGCGGTGGTTACACAGATCCACACGTGATGAAATGACATAGAAGTATACACACACATTGTACCAATGTCCGTTTCCTGATTTTTATATTAAACTGTAATTATGTAAGATGTACCCATTGGGGAAAAGTGAAAGGTAGCACCTTTGCAACTTCCTGTGAATCTGTAAGTTCAAAATAAAAAGTAAAAAAAGAAAGCTGAAGAGCCATAACCAAATGCAGTGTGTGAAACTGATTTGGGAAAACAAAATTATGAAATGTATGTTTTAGGACAGTTGGGGAAACTTGACTATGACTAGATATTAGATTATATTAGGGAATTATTGTTAGTTTTCTGACCTGTAATCATTACAGGTCATTAGTTTGGAGAATTTTTATTATTAAAAGATGCATATTAAGGTATTTGTAATGAAGTGTTTTGATGTTCACAACTTTCAAAAACATGTTTTTCAGTATGTTTAGAGAGAGAAGGCAAACGTAGCAGTGTTAATTGTTGAATCTAGATGGAGGATACAGGTATTCATTGTACCATTCTTTCAACTTTTCTGTACCGTTTGATATTTTCAAAATAAAAGGTTTGGGGCAAAATAATCAGGTCTTTCCACAGATTAATGCTTTGTAGCTTCAGGCTCCGGGGTCCGCGCCTTGTTTAACTGCCCCTGCGCAGCCTGGGGATGCCCCTCTCCCTGAGGCTCAGGGCCACAGCCCACCTAAACGCTGCTGCTCCCATCCCTGGTCCGGAGCGACATTGGACACCCATCGAGAAGAAAGCACCTCCGAGATTCCTAGAGAGGCCGGTCTGGCGACTTGGAGAGCCGGAAGCCCTGCCGAGGCACTTCCTGTCCGGTCATTGTTCTCGCGCTGGTAGGCGCGGAGAATCCGGCCTGCCGGCCTCCTGCTCTGGAGCCCGGGGTCCCCGGCCGGGGTTCTGTGCGGCGCACGGTGAGCGGGGGTGGTGGGAGTGGGCGCGAAGGTCTGGGGTGCGGGAGGGGCCGTTCCAGGGGCGGCTCGCGGTGTCCTCTTCTCGGGAACCCCAGCTCTGTGTGTCCGGGGGCGGCTCCGTGCGCACAACCTAGGAAACCCGGCTGCCGCCCACCGCAGCTTCCCTGGCCCGGGAAAGGTTGGACGCAGACCGCCCCAGGGGCCATGCTGACCCCGGAAGCAGGGCTACGTGGGGCCGTGAGGTAGAGGAGATGAGTTGCCACATTTGGAAATAGGGAAGGGACATTGAAAGGGAAGCCCTTGGTAGGGGCACTCTGGGCTGCCTGGGGCTGGGGGCCAATTTGAGTTTGATCAGCAGTCTGATGACAGTACTCACAGTAGGCAGTCTTGCATGTACACAGGTGAAACGAGTGTTAAGGGCCCTCCCACCTGGTAAAATTAAGCTAGTCATGGAAAGAAGAATCCTCCAGAATTAAAATTTGTTGCAGGAATGAAAGTATTGCGTTACTCAAGAAATTCAGTGTGTACAATAAGTTGTCAGTAAGTTAACAAAGGAAAAAAGTACGTGATTACTTCAATGGCAGGAAAAGAGTACTTAATAAAATTTAGCCCTTTTTTCCTACTAAAACATCTAAAAGGGAATAGAAAATTTTCTGTCTCTTCATAATCAACCAAAATGGTAAAATTACTTTGCTCACAAATTTTTTAAAAAACAACAAAAGCCTGCTGGCTTGGCTATGACTAAGGGGTTCTGTTAAGTTGGTGGTGCTGTGATTTGGTGTGGTGCTTGTAGAAAGCATTTGGGCAATATGTGTCAACCGTAAAATCCTTCAACCAGTAATTCCTCTATTCTAAAGGGATAATTCAGCAGAAGAAGAAAGTACTTGCACAGAAAACTTTTAACATTAATTGTTATTAAGAAAATAAGCTGGTAGGCCGGCCCCATGGCCAAGTTGTTAAGGGTTTCACCAGTTTGGATCCTGGGCACAGACCTAGCACCGCTCAGCAGGCCATGCTGAGGCGGCGTCCCACATAGCAGAACTGAAAGGACCTACAAATAGAATATACAACTATGTGCTGGGGGGCTTTGGGGAGAAGGAAAAAAAAAAGATTGGCAACAGATGTTAGCTCAGTGCCAGTCTTTTAAAAAAAAGAAAAGAAAAGAAACTGAAAACAATGAAAACTCCTTTTGCTAAAGCAATGGTTCACAAATAGGGGATGGTTAAGTAAATTGTAATATAGCTATAATTTAGAACATTATGCCAGAATGAGGTAGCTCTATATGTACTTATATTGAAACATAGACGATTGTGCAGTGTGGAAATTGAGTTCAAAAAACAAACCGTGCAGGTTGATGAATAATGTACTAGTGTGATCTAATGTATGTTTTTGGAAAACAAGTAGTACTTATGAAGATGTACATATGTGTATGGAAATGCAGAGAAAACGCTGATAACTGATAACTAATTACCCTGCATATGTAACTGATTACAGGACAGTGTATAAGGGAACATATATTTAATTCTGTATATTTCTGTATTAATCTGTCCTTTTTCAATGAGAATGACAGTTAATTAACACCATAGATTATTATGTTGCTACTAAAACTGATCGCATGAAGAATGGCAACATGGGGGCCAGCCCAGTGGCGCAGTGGTTGAGTTTTCGCATTCTACTTCAGCGTCCCAGGGGTTCGCCGGTTTGGATCCCAGGTGCAGACATGGCACTGCTTGGCAAGCCATGCTGTGGTAGGCATCCCACATAGAAAGTATAGGAAGAGGGCCAGTCTTCCTCAGCAAAAAGAAGAGGATTGGCGGCAGATGTTAGCTCAGGGCTAATATTCCTCAAAAGAAAAAAAATGGCAACATGAAAAATCTTTTTTTATCTTAAGAGTAATACTTGATCTCACAAGACATTTGGAAGAAATGGAAAATGTAAAAATCAAACAAAAAGAACCTCAAAATTGTAATTACATGACCCAGGGAAAAATTGTAATTACATCACCCAGGGATGATCACCTCTAACATGTTTGTTCTAGACTCCCAGACTTTTTCTTGAGATTCTTTCATTCAATACACAATAGTGTATCCTTGATGATAAAAAAAAAAAAAAAAACTTTGTGTTGTAATATTCCTTCTTAAAAAAAAAAGTGATGATAATTGTGAGAATATGTATCTCCCTGGTTAAAAACAAAAAGTTTATTAAGTCACAATTGTCAGTGAGGTTGGAAGTTTTCCCTTAAAAGAAATATCTTAAATTCTACGGTATACAGTGGTTAATCTCTTTTTAGGTAGACCAGGGGTGATTTTTCTTTTTTTTTGTTTTAAAGATTGGCACCTGAGCTAACAGCTGTTACAAATCTTCTTTTTCGTTTTTTTTCATTCTCCCCAAAGTCCCCTGGTACATAGTTGTATATTGTAGTTGTAGGTCCTTCTGGCTCTGCTGTGTGGGATGCCGCCTCAGCATGGCTTGATGAGCGGTGCCATGTCTGCGCCCAGGATCCGAACTGGCGAAACCCTGGGCCTCCGAAGCGGAGTGCACGAACTTAACCACTCGGCCACAGGGCTGGCCCCACGAATGGTTTTTCTTAATCATTTTCTGTAGTTTTCAAGTTATTACAGTAAAAATATATTATCTTTATAATCAGGAAAAAAATCAATAAACATTATATAAAGCTGTTTGTAATGTGATTACTACTGGGACAGATTGCATGTTTACAGTCCAGCCCCTTCCATCCTATTAGGGAGGAGTGGAGCAGACCTTGTGTTACTGTGGCCACTGCCCAGGCCCTGGTGAAGTTGGCTAGTGGGCTTAGTGACATGTAGGCAAACCTCTGCTCGGTGCTAACAATGTTTTCTGATTTCTCAGTAGACAGTACTCATCCTAGTCCTGGGAAGAAACTCAAGAAGAAGATTTTGAACCTTAAAGATTAGATGGGGCTTGACCTGTGTTGGGCAGCCCCCAGCTATAGGAGTTTCCCTGCTGGGGAGAGAAGATGACTGCAGAATTGAGAGAGGCCATGGCCCTGGCCCCTTGGGGCCTAGTGACAGTGAAAAAGGAGGAGGAAGAGGAGGAAAACTACCTAGGTCAGGCATCCAGCCAACAAGTGCACTCTGAGAACATCAAAGTCTGGGCCACTGGGGAGGGTCCTCAGACAGGCCTTGATGTATCAGAACAGGAGGGAAAGGTAAGTAGTGGTCTGAGAGGAAGGAGGGAGGGGGATCTGAAGGCCTCCGGTGGTTTCAGAGGGGACTCTGTCCCTCTGCTTCCGCACCTGGAGTCTTGTTTCCTGACTAGGGCTCTGGCCTTTAGTCCTTCGGAATATACAGTCATGTCTTGCTTAACAACAGGAATACATTCTGAAAAGTGCTTCGTTAGGTGATTTCATCATGTGCGAACATCATAGTGTACTTACACAAACCTAGATGGTATAGCCTACTACACACTTAGGCTGTATGGTACTACCCTGATGGGACCGTCATATATGCAGTGTGTCGTTGACCAGATCACTGTTATCTGGTGCATAACTGTAATAGAAGCATTCTCTTCTGATTGATGTGACATTCAGTACTTTCTATAAACCAGTCGCTCTCAAACTTTGCTACAAAGAATTACCTGGTGAGCTTTTTATAAAATTGTGATGCCCATGCCATATCCATTCCAATTAAATCAGAATCTCTGTGAGTGGGACCCAGACATCTGTATTTTTTAAAAACTCTTCAGATAAACAAACACATGGACAAAGAGAACACACTAGTGGTTACCAGAGGGGAAGGGGGGTCGGTGGTGGCCATGACGGGTAAAGGGGCACATGTTTATGGTGATGGACAAATAATAATGTACAACTGAACTCGTATAAGGTTATAAACTATTATGACCTCAATAAAAAGAAAAAATTAAACAAAAAGCTCTTCGAGTGATTCCAGTCAGGATTTGATAACTCTCACTTGTGCTTCTGAAACTTTCATATTCGTAGGAATCACTGGGCCGTCTTGTTAAAATGCGGATTCTGACTCCGGAAGTCTGGAGTGTGGTCTGAGATTCTGTGCTTCTCACAGGCTCCTCAGTGATGGTGATTCTGCAGATCTGTGGACCACACTTTGAGTAGTGAGGCTACACCCTATACTATGGTCTTTAATGTTTTCCAACACACCCCTTACCATCAGTAGGCAGATGAGGACTGAGGTTTCCCAAAGCCTCTCTGTAATAATATGATCAGAACCTTGTTTCTTTGATCTTTAGACCTCAGAAAAGTCTACTCTGGAAAATTCCCTCATGCTCTTTTGTCGTACACCCACTAGCAAGTTAGGTTTGGATGCTGGAGTGCAGTGAGGTGAAATCAAAGTGGGAGGGAAGAAGGTGGCAGGCTTGCTTCTCTCCCTAACTCACCTCGGGGATTAGAGAAGACTCTGTCTTCCTTTTCCTTTGTCTTTTTAATGTTTGGGGTTTTAAAAAATTTGTGTGTTTTGTGGCCTCCAGGAATAGGTGCTTATGTTCCCATCCTTAAAGCTGTAGTCACACCACTTCCCACCGAGAATCCCCTCATAAGCCCACCTGTGCCTGCTTGTCTCTAGGGTCAGAACATGTTCTGGGACATGGCTGTAGTCCTGAAAGCAACGCAGGAGGCACCTGCTGCTTCAACCCTTGGCAGCTACTCATTACCGGGGCCTCTGGCCAAGAGTGAGATACTGGAGACTCATGGGAGCATAACCTCTCTAGGTAAGGTTCAACCCCCTGATTAGTATCTGACCATTGGGCTTTCTCAAAATCTTTTCTGAGACTGGTGGTCTGGTCACCAGGCTTAAGCAACAGAGTGTTGAGACGTTGAAAATGTCAGGGAGAGCCGGATAGAGGAATGCTGAAAGATGCCTGTACATTTGTTACAGGAAGTGGCTTATTTTGCATATAGTCTCAAGATACCAGATGACACAGGTGAACATCAAATTCACCTTTTAATCACATTTATTGTTTAGCGAGTTTCATATCTATTCATACTGTCCTCTATGTGCTTTGTGTTTATTGTAGGTTGGTGAGCCTGCAAGGGAAGCTAGGTAACATAGGAAAGGTCAACTTTTCTGGTAATTTTGAGGAAATACCCTGGAGATGTTCTGATTTCATAGATCTTTATGTAAATTCTGGAGGATTTTGAGCAGTTGTGTCAACCATAATGTTGTTCAAAGCTAGATCTTCATGGAGGGTACCGATGGCTGGCTTATCACCTGGTTCTCTCTGAGCTGGGCCTCAGGATATGACTGACTAGCAATGGTGAAAGCTTGCCTATGAAGGAGTGACGGGTAACTGTGGATCAAGAATGTGGTAGCCATGAGTCCTGTGTTTCGCAAACAATTCCCGGATGACTGCCAAGGCCCCTCTGGCACTTACATTCTCTGCACACGTGGTGCAGGGCTGCGCCTGAATGTTTTGAACCCACCGTCCTTCCTAGCCAATTCCTCAGTCACTTGTGGACCAAGTCGCTTTCTTAAACTAGTGTGGTGGGGAAGGTTAGGATTGCCACCTTTCATTTTCTTGTCTCTTCTTTAATTATTCCCTAAACTCAGCAGCTTCTATTCCCCGCTTTCTGCTTTCCATTCCATTCTCTCTGGTGCATTCCCCTGTCTATCACTTCTTCTCTGTTTCCTTGCTTTATCAATCATCCATAGTCTTAACTCCAACAGCTGTATCTACCGACCAGAAGTGGCCACTGTTTTCCTTCTCTGCTGTTCCCAGCCAAGACTTACCTTTCTATTTTCTGTGCTGCCAGCTATTTCCATAGCAGCAGGTAATGGCGGGAACACTAAGCTCTAGAAATTAAGAGAGAGACCTGAGTGTAGTTGCCCTGCCTCTGATAATTCTGTGACCTTGAGCAAGTCCTTTCTCACTCTGGACCTCCCTTTCCTGTTCTCTGAGCTGGGAGGCATTCATTCAATAAATACAGGGTTTGTTGGGGGCCTGTATCCTGTGTGCTGGGCAGTGTGATAGGTGCTAGGGACACAGCACTGAATCGGACACTGCCCTGCCCTTTTTTATCTTCCCTACAAGTAAAGGAGAATAATTTCATCTTGATGGTAAAATCATATATATGAAAGTGCCTTGGGAATTTTAATGTGTTACTGGGTTGGTAAGGTCTGAGAGTTTTATCTGCAGCTTCCTATGTATTAATTAATATTGAATTTATTAAAGTTTATATGTTTAAAACCAAGTTTTTAAGCTTTTAAGTGTAACAGATTTTTGTTGCATTTATACATCTAGAAATATTTTTATAAAAATTAGAACACATACTTTTTCTTTAATTCATGTTTAGTTAAGCTTCAAGTTTTACAGATTAAATTTTTTAAACATTTTACTCTACTTACGTATCGATTTCCTAATATAAAAATTTTCCTGGGTCAGCCCCATGGTGTAGTGGTGAAGTTCAGTGCCCTCCTCTTTGGCGGCCTACGTTTGGTTCCTGGGCGTGGATCTACACCACTCACCAGAGCCACACTGTGGCAACAACCCACATACAAAATAGAGGAAGATTGGCACAGATGTTAGCTCAGGGCTATTCTGCTTCAGCGAAAAAAAAAAATTCTTATTTTTAGTTCCTTAAATAAAAATGATATTAAATTGCAAATTTAATGTATCTAATTCTTTAAAATATTTCAAACACCCAAGTAGGCACACTTACAAATCTTATAATAAAATCTTCATGAAGGCACAGCTTTTCTAAATCTAATGAATTGAACTTATAAAGTTAGTAAATCAAATTACCTTTCATATCTCGGAATGCAGTCACCAGCTAAGAGGCAGACTCACACAGCATTTCAGAGCTCTTTTTTTTAAAGAATGGAAAATAGTTTTGATTCAAGACTTAATACTGCACCTTTGCTCTAGTTGAAAAACAAATGCGTTCTTGGTTTATTTCTTCATTATTTTTATATTTATTTCTGTACTTTCCTAGAGTTACAGTAATCCTACAAGATCCAAAAAGGATCTCAATACCATCTCAAACAAGCAAAGGTACAGATCCTAGGTTATTGGCCAGTTAATTGGCCAAGGAGATTTGAGCTTGAGCACACAGGATGATCCTTCATTCCCTTTTCTTAGACCCGAGGGACTTGCCAAGACCCTTGCTCTTATGTCATCCTTGTGATAAAACTGTTCTGTAACAACTGCACTAAGACCTACGCCACGGTTGTACCTAGTACTGTAATGATTTTGACATAAGGCATTATGCAAATCCAAGGAGTTGTTTCTGTTATTGGCCCTGATTGCTTCTGTAGTTCCCACTGGTCTTCATCTTTTATGTCTTTTTAACATTCTGAAGCTCAAAGTAAGGAGACCAGGAGTGAGGTCAAGGGAGAGAGTGAAGCTATAGGCTAAAGTATTCTTGAACTTTGTTCCTGTTGGAGAGATGCTTGGTAGGGGATCGGAGGCCCCCAGTGTCTGTGATGGAGGGTTAAAGGAAAAGAGGAGGTGAAAAAAAGCACGGAAGGAGACGTTACAAGGGAGAAAAATAAGATGAGAAGTAGGTGATGAAGAATAGTAGAGGGGCCAGCCCTGTGGCCGAGTGGTTAAGTCTGCATGCGCTGCTTCGGCGGCCCAAGGATTTGCCGGTTTGGATCCTGGACGCGGACGTGGCACCACTCATCAGGCCACGCTGAGGTGGCGTCCCATGTGGCACAACTGGAAGGATCCAGAACTGAAAAAAATACATATATATACAACGATATACTGGGGGGATTTGGGGAGGAAAAATAAGCAGGAAAAAAAAAAGAATAGTAGAGAACATAGAAGAAAGTAGTGATCAAAAGAAAAGCAGAAGAGGGGCCGGCCCAGTGGTGCAGTGGTTAAGTGCACACATTCTGCTTCAGCAGCCCGGGGTTCCCCGATTTGGATCCCTGGTGCAGACATTACACCGCTTGGCAAGCCATGCTGTGGTAGGCGTCCCACATATAAAATGGAGGAAGATGGGCACGGATGTTAGCTCAGGGCCAGTCTTCCTCAGCGAAAAGAGGAGGATTGGCAGCAGATGTTAGCTCAGGGCCAATCTTCCTCAGCAAAAAGAGGAGGATTGACAGCAGTTAGCTCAGGGCTAATCTTCCTCAAAAAAAAAAAAGAAAAGCAGAAAGACATGAAACTACACAAGGAAAAGATCAGAATATTTACACACAAAATATTTTTTTACATAAAAACCAGGAAAGGAGAGATGAAGAGGCAGTAGGATAAAGAGGTGGAAAAGTAGGGGAAAAGTAAGATAAGAACGAAGAGAAGAAGATGTAAAGACAGTTAAAACTACAGGGAGAAGAATGGAATAGATTAAGAAAAGACATCAGAAGAGTAGAAATAGAAATTACCAGAAAAAGAACTTCAGATTTCTTTTTGTTGTCACATTGGGGGCTCTGTTGTATCCAGCGCTCCAGCATTCCCTTTCTCCGATACTGTCTGTCTTATCTGATGCTTGTGATGCAATTTCATATTACCATGGTCCTATCCAGGCTACCAAACTGGGTTGGTTCCCTACCCTGCCGCCACAGTGCTTTGTACTACCAGACATCCCTGTCGCACCCACATCTCATTGGTGGGAGTCGCCTGTGCCAGTAGGATGTTCTAGGGGTGCTGGATTCCCTCTGTGCAGTTGCTGCAGCTCACAGCTTTACTGCTCACTTCTAAGTCGACACCACCAGTGGGAATACCTCCCTCCTCTGCAGGCTTGCCTCCCACTTCTGCTGGCCCTCATTTCACTTGCCTCGTTATCTGAGTAGTTTTCCTGAGCTTGGTTTAATTCACAAATACTTATTATGGGTTCACTCTAGCAACACTGGGCTGCCTGGTGCACATTCCAGCGTTAAGGGTGGTGGGGGTGGAGAGGAGACACACATAAGGAACTATGATATTCCTGACTGCCTGACCCATTTTTGACACCATTAGGGTTCTGAGGCAATGTAGAGCAGCCAGAGACTAGTGAAGAGATTTAAAACTTCAGGATGTTTTCGTGTTCTCATAATATTTTTTTGGCATTATGGAGCAGGCTGTGCCATGCCTCATGCTTAACTCAAAAAGGTCACCTTTCCTTGACACAAGTCTAGGCTCTTTCCTCACATAAAGGGTAAGCTGTTTACTCTGTTCATGTTCTTTTCCAGTCCCTTCTAATATTGTCATCTGTCATCATATCAACTCCCATCCCCTAAGGTTCATCCTTCCTCCTGGCTCCCTTTGACCCACAGCACCCCTGGTCAGGTTAGAAGTCACAGCAGACACTCACAGAGCCACTCACTGAGCTCCATGGCTGTTCTCAATAGTTGACATAGAGTAACTCAGTAAATCTTCTTGTGGTCTTACTGTCCTATTTTAGAGATAAGGAAACTGAGGCACAGAGAAGTTAAGTTACTACCCCAAAGTTATGCACCTGGTAAGTGGCAGAGCAGGGATTTGAAACCAGGCAGTCTCGCTCCAGGGTCCCTGTTCTTAACCTCTGTGCTGCACAGCCTCTTAGTGTTTCAGATACTTTTGGCTGCTGTAGCCCTCTTGGCATCCAGTATGACCCTTTCTGTCCATGTTTATTCCCTTCTTTGATACCCAGGATCAATATACACAAAAGCCTAACTTGCCTAGATCTTTGTTAACAGAGAGCAGATCTCCCTGATTAACTGGAGGGTTGTAAGCAAATGCACCCTAAGTGGCTACAATAAGACAAGCCTTGGGAAAGGCCATAACCAGTGTGAGAATTGTGAGATCTGTCTTATACAACCAGTAGGAGAACTGTCTGGAAACAGCTTCCCTGGCATGAGGCAGTGTGTTAAATGGCTAATGGAGGTAAGTGAAAGTGCTGGAAAGACCATGAGTCAGTGGATTCTGCTCTAGGTTGGGGGAGGGCACAGACCTGGCCGAAGAACCTGCAGAGAAGAGGTGACACATGAGAGAATTCTTTGCTTTGTTGAAGCCATTTTGCAGATACTGAAGTCACATACTTCCTGACCTTTCTCACTTGATGATCCTATTCTTTTTCTAGGCCAGAAATATCTGACGTTTGTATTTTCTGTTTCTTGTTTCAGGTGCTGAAACCAAGAAGCCACAGTTACTGGTTCCAAAAACTGAGATATGTGATGAAGCAGAAAAACCCTTCATAATATCAGGAAGAATCCAGAAAGTCGACCTTCAAGGGCCGGAGTTAGGAGAAGCCTGTGAAAGAGGGAACGTGTTAAAGAGGCAGAGAATCAAGAGGGAAAAGAAAGATTTCAAACAAGTGCCAGTGAAGGACTGTCATGTACCTGAAAGCTTCAAAGAAGAAGAAGACCAGAAATTTCAGAAATCTGGGGAAAAATACAGCCTTAGTTCTGGCCCTGGTAGAAATCAGAAAAGCCAGCCTGGGCAGAAACCTTTCACATGTAGCGTGTGTGGGAAAGGCTTTAGTCAGAGTGCGAACCTGGTAGTGCACCAGCGCATCCACACTGGGGAGAAACCCTTCGAATGTCATGAGTGTGGGAAGGCCTTCATTCAGAGTGCAAACCTTGTTGTGCATCAGCGAATCCACACTGGACAGAAACCGTATGTTTGTTCAAAGTGTGGGAAAGCCTTCACTCAGAGTTCAAATCTGACTGTACATCAAAAAATACACTCCTTAGAAAAAACCTTTAAGTGCAGTGAATGTGAGAAAGCCTTCAGTTATAGCTCACAACTTGCTCGGCACCAGAAAGTCCACATTACAGAAAAATGCTATGAATGCAACGAGTGTGGGAAAACATTTACTCGGAGCTCAAACCTCATTGTCCACCAGAGGATCCACACTGGTGAGAAGCCCTTTGCCTGTAATGATTGTGGCAAAGCCTTCACCCAGAGTGCAAATCTTATTGTGCATCAGCGAAGCCATACCGGTGAGAAGCCATATGAGTGTAAAGAGTGTGGAAAAGCATTTAGTTGTTTTTCTCACCTTATTGTGCACCAGAGAATTCACACTGCAGAGAAACCTTATGACTGCAGCGAGTGTGGAAAAGCCTTCAGTCAACTCTCTTGCCTTATTGTGCACCAGAGGATTCACAGTGGAGACCTTCCTTATGTGTGTAATGAGTGCGGGAAGGCCTTCACATGCAGCTCCTACCTGCTTATTCATCAGAGAATCCATAATGGGGAAAAACCGTACACGTGCAATGAGTGTGGCAAGGCCTTCAGGCAGAGGTCGAGCCTCACCGTGCACCAGAGAACCCACACTGGGGAGAAGCCCTACGAATGTGAAAAGTGTGGTGCAGCTTTCATTTCTAACTCGCACCTCATGCGGCACCACAGAACCCATCTTATTGAGTAACAAGGAAAGGAAGAGGAAGACCTCCAGGCATCGAGCATAACCTACTACCCCCCAAATCGGACACTCTTTGCTGTTTTCTTCCCCCTTTGTAAAAATGAGGCCTGCCATGTCTTTAAAAACAAGTTTTCAGGAGTGCAGCACAAAACACCAGATAAGCTTTTCAGAGGCTAATTTAAAGAAAATGAAAACTAAGTACCTAAAGGCAAGGACTTTGTTTTTAACTCTTCCCTAAGTGGTCCTATAGTCTGAAATGGAATGTGGCTTTCTTAGAAATGGGTCATACAAAGCTAAGTGATAAAGATCCCATTTGGGGAAAGGTATTTTTCGCCTAATTTTGTTTGTTAAAACTCTGGTAATTTCTTGAGCAGCAAGCAGGTTACTGGTATAGGTCTGCCTAGTGGAATTCTGCAGCTTTGAACCTTGTAGTCTGGTATTTTGGGTTAAGCAGTGACTGGTTAAGGAGACCACTTGGAGTAGCAGTTCACCAATAACTCACCTATGAACATTTATAAGCTTTCCATTCCGTAGGTAATTTTAAAAAAATCAAAAAAACCTATTAACCGTCTACTGCTCCTAAAATGGACAGAAGTAAGAAACAGCCGTTTCCCTCATTGTCTATACCTCATGAACCTTGGTATGGTAGAGCTCTGGGGACCTCTGAGGAGTCTCTTCTGACTGTTCCCAGTCTGCATGGCCAAGCACTTGAGGACTGACGTTCACTGGGGCCACAAATGCTGCTGGGCTTGATTCGTTTGCTAAGACCAACAACACTCCAAATAAGCCCTGATTTCCGTTGCATTCCACTGGAGTGAGATGCCCATAACAGCCCGCTTCCCAGACAGAGGAGTCAAAGAATAAAGCTTGCCTAGAGGCATGCCCATCTTGTCTCTGCTCTCCTTCTGCTCAGGCCCAGCCAGGGGGCTCTGTTTGGGTGTCATTCTCCCTTTCTGGATGGTCTTAGAACAAATAATGGAGCCCTTCTAATTCTTAGAGGACCAAAGAGGGAAATGAAGGGAGAAGGGGGAGGCAGAGTGGGATTCCTAAGTCTTAATTTCTTTTTTTCGAGAAGGTCAAAGATATTGGAATATGAAAACTTTTAGAGGGATGAAGAAACTGGCTACGGTAAGATACCTTTGTTACCATTGAGCCTTTACTCCTGGAAAAAATGATTTATAAAACTATGCAATAGGTAGAGTTATGTGATAATATTGCCTTGTATTTATATAGAACTGTATTCTTTCTTTGTGTACCTTCGTGTATAGAATCATGATACCCAGCACTTATCTCATGCTTTCACATAGATTGTTACCTTGATCCTTAGAACAGAAGCAGTGTTTGCCCCATTTACCTGAGAGTGGTCAGTTAGCACAAGGCCAAGTAACAAGTGACAGCTTATATTCAAATTTAGGACCTAAATCCAGGTTCTCTTTGTTCCACCATGTTGTTTGTCTAACCACCTGTAACCCCACGCAAATCTGTGGAGAGCCTGAGAAAGGGGCATGTAGTCTCCTTTTCTGGTGAGGAAGCTATGATGACAGATTTGGGGGTGTGCCTTAGTCAGTGTGACTAGCAAGCAGCAAATCTCAGACTGGAATTTGAGTCTCCTGATTTCTGGATCTGTCTCTCCACCCATCTCTCAGCATGCAGGAGCATTTATTGTAAATGCCACACCTGGTGATAAATAGTCTGGTGCAGCTCTTGTGCAGAAGTCCCATGCATTTATTGCCTCATTTCTACAAGACTGTTAATCAACATTGTGTTTGTAGTTTACAGAGCACTGTCACGTAGGGAAGGCAGACAGGAAAGCTTAATTTCCTCTTAACCTTTTTTCCCCTTCAACTACAGTTTTTCCTCAAAGCACGTGCAGCTTTTTTTCCCCAGTTTCCCTCTAAATCATACAGACACAAGTACAAGAAATCAGTGGGATTCAAAAGTAAGAATCAAAAATGCTCATGCCCTCACTGACCCTGACAGTGACTGTTCCTGTCCCCCTGTCTGAGATTGGAGAGACCCGAAGATAACAACACGTATCTCTGCTGAGACTGGGAACAAGTGAAGTTTTTCTTCCTGCATGATCAGGAAGCTCATAAGAGAGGGAGAGCAGATCTGAAAATTTGGGATAAACTAGTGACCTTGACCCACCAAGAGGCTAGAAGTATGCTATGCTGAAAGATATTAGCTAGGATTTATGACCATTAAGGCAGTTAAGCTATTTTAGCTTCATGTATATTCATCCCCATAATTGAATACTCAGTCAAGGATGATTGTGATTTCCTGGATAAAGATTTCCATTCATATGTGGTTCAGAAAAGCCACCCAGGTAATTATGATATAAAGCTAGGTTTGGGAATCGCTGACCCAACCTTGCAGTAAAGCAGTGGTTTTCAACCTTGGCTGCATGTTAGAATCACCTAGGGCACTTTAAAGTTTTTCTCTTCCCAGCCCTCAGTATTTTTTATTACTCCGGAGGGGAATCTAATATGCAGCCAAGGTAGTGAGCCACTGCAGTCAAGTAAAGCCTGCAGACCAGGAAAATGTGCCATCAGAGGTGGAGAGGGGAGCTCCAGTATAAGGATCTGGATGGGGAACATGTTCTGTGTGGTTTCAGTAGAACAGGACACTAACCACATTGGCTACACTGGGGGTCCTTCTGTGCCTCTGCCAACCCTTGGCTGCTAGGATTCTGTGACCTAACTTATTTTATCTGTATTTTAAGTGAATTTACCAAACATTTTATATAAGCAAACTAAATTTTACATAATGTGCTTTTATGTTCCTCACTCAACAAAATGGCTTTTTACATTTCTGCTTGTATTTCATCTCCAGGTCTGGGTTTCCACAAACCTGCACCCAGGTTCAGGACCCCCAGTCCTGCACAAATCGTGTGAGCCTGGTGGATTACTAGATGGATGAGATCCTTCCCCAGCTAATAACAACTCTTCCTCCCAGTCCAGTTCCAGCCCTCAAAATAAATTACAAGCCTTCTTTTTCTTCATGGTTTCGGATAGGGGAAGAGTGACTACCCCTTGTTGTCAGAGTTGGCCTTGGTTTTCCTTTTCCTTTGGGTCATCTCCCTCCTGCCTTGGCTGGGCTTGCTAGAAATGGACGGGAACTTTGAAACCCCATTTTTGTAAGTTGCCAAGAGCTATCAGAGTTTTGGCTGTCAAAGAGCCAGGGCTAACAGTGGGCATTAAGGGTAGAGTCAAGAAGTCTGTCCTTACTCTCAAATGAGACCAACAGATGTGTGTTAAGTGGAGCACAGGGATGCAAAAGTAATAATGAAATCGTGTATGTGCATTGGGAGTATGGGGGAGAGATTTCATCAACACACACACACAGAACACAGAGAAGAGATTCTTCATGAACACACACCCTCTCAAACAATGGGCATGAATTCCTCCAGGCTCAGGAAGAGGTGTCTTTGGGCAAAGCTCATCCTTTCTCTGTGTTCTGGGTCCCTTCCCTCCCTGGCTGAGGCAGTTGTCCTCCCACATCCATTGTTTTCTCCACTTGCTCCTCCATCCAGTGTGCCTTTCTAGAGTTACAGCCCCTTTGGGAATCTGATAAAGGTTGTGGCTCCTCTCCTGGAGAAATAAGATTGTACATTCAGTTTTGTGCTCGTTTGTGGGGGCATATAGGCTCCCCAGAGCCAATCCAAGGATCTTCTAGGGCCTAAATTCTCACCTGGGGATGCACCACATAATCGCCAGTGACTTTTTTTTTCCCCCGGTGAGGAAGATTGGCCCTGAGCTTAACATCTATTGCCAATCCTGCTCTTTTTGCTTAAGGAAGATAGTCGCTGAGCTAACATCTGTGCCCATTCCTCTATTTTATATGTGGCACACTACCACAGCATGGCTTGATGAGCGGTGTACAGGTCTGCACTCGGGATCTGAACCCGCGAACCCCAGGCCACTGAAGCAGAGTGTGTGAACTTAACCACTGTGCCACCGCCCCAGCCCAACCAGTGACATTTTTAAAAAATGAGATCAGAGTACAGTCTCTGTAAGGATGTTGCCTAGACACGCATCCTTTTAAATCTTGCTTTTCATGGGTTCCCTCCCTCAGCAAATGGCATTATTCCCACCACTTGGGGCACCCAGACTGGAAACACAGCAGACATTTCTGGCTTTCTATATATGATTTGTTCATTACAAAAATACTTACTAGGCACTCTCTTTGCGGCAAACATGGTGCTAGAACCTGGGGTGCCAAGGTAAATAAGGTCTACCGAACCCTCATTTCATGTCTGTCATGGGGAAAATGTCTGGATCACTTAATGTGATTTACTAAATTTCATAATCTCCAACCTTCTCTCCACTTCCTGTGCACCTTTTACTGCAGCCTTGAAGTGTGTGCTTGCTCTTCTCTGTGCCTTTGCTCACACCATCCTTGCTGCCTGTGATACCTCACCGCCACTCCCTACCCAGCCCCCATCTACTTTGCCCAGCCTTAGGCTCCTTTTAAGATTTGGTTCAAGTCCTGTCTCTGGGAAACGTCAGACTGCCCTATGGCCAAGGGCATATTTAGAAGTATAGAATAGCATGATAGGATATGTATCCAGAGTTTTACTTTATGCTTCGAAGTGAAAAAAATCTGGATTCAAAATTGCATATATACTACCGTTCTCGTATTATATTGTTGTTACATGAACTATATACTATTAAAAAGTATATAGATAAATTACCTGAAGGAAATATAAGGAAATGTAAGTGGTTAAGTGACTTTTTCACAGCCATACAGATGGTAAATTGCAGAGCTTAGGCTCAACCCAGGTCCTATGGATAATACCATTATGGGTGATTAAAAGGGTTTTTTTGTTTTTAATACTTTTCATGTTTTCTATAAGGAGCAAGGATTTTATAATCAGGAAAAAGTATTTATTATATTTACATGTTTAGTTTTATTCTATTAACTATAAATAGCGTCTCAATTCCCCGTTTTGTAAGATGTGGGATACACGCTGCCTTTTCCTTCTCTCCTTTTCCACCTCTCTGCCTTTGACAGTGTCAAGTCTGATCATCTTGAATTCTGTTCTGTAACTATAGTTACTCTTTTATGCTTTCTTTATTGATTTGTTCTGAAAGTTGAAAATAAACAACGTGAGTGTTATGATGACCATGCAAATGTTGTTCACTGCAGATGTAAGTTGCTTGCTATTCTATTTCCTTTTTAGAGCATTTTGTTTTTACAGAAGTTTGTAGTTACCTTTCTTTTCCCCTTGTACTGATTGCTTTTAGCACATCCTCAGCTATTTTCAAATTCTCCATCCAATTAGATACTCTGTTGAGTCCCCTTTTCTTCCAGTATATTTCCCTTCCAGAGGCCTCTGCTCTCGTCTGTCCCTGTTCTTTTTGCCTACTGTTCTGTTACACTGGGCCCCGTTGTGTCCTGATTTTCCTATCTTCTTCTTTCTTCATTTCCTCCCTCATTTCACTGCAGTGCGTCTAAGTCATTTGCCAAGAAAGAGTATGTGAAAGGCAAAACTGAGTGCCTATATATCTAAAACAACGTTCTCTGCTGTCTCATTTGATTTGGCAGTTTGACTGGCTCTGGAGTTCCAGGTTGAAAAATTATCCCCAGAAGTTTTTAGGCGTTGCTTCACTGACTTACACCAACTACTGTTGCTAATGAGATGTTGATCCAGCCTGATACTTCTTTCTTGGACAATCAGCAAATAATAGTTACATTACTGTAATGTGTTCCCCCACCCCATGCTTGGAAGCTTTTAAAGTCTCCTCTTTATCCTTGGTGTACTCAATTCCCTGGTGTAGCCAGTGGAATTTTTCAATCTAGCCACCTCAGGTACTTCTACTCTTGGAAATTTTCCTGTGTTATTTACATGACAGTTCCCCCTTTCCATGCTTTTTGTTTTTGCGCTTTGTGTAATTCCTGTCAATCAAATGTTGGACCTTGTAGATTAATCCTCAACTATTTTCTCTGTTGTTTGCATTTCCTTGTCTTGTGCTGTTTTCTGGGAGAGTACGTTGATTATTTTTCAACCTTTTTAGTGAATTTTTTGTTTAGGCAGTAATTTAACTTCTAGGAGCCTTGTTTTCTGTTTGTTCTTTTTCTGTAGCATGTTCTCGTTTTAGAGATACCTCTCAAATCTGAGTATTCTAACTAGAAAGGTTTTCTTAAAAGTCTCTTCTGTCACCTGAATTATCTCATCCTCTTCATGCCTCTGTCCCTGGGTCCTTTTTTCTCTCTGTTTATCTTCTTTGCTATCATTGGAGACTCCTCAAATAGGATGATTCTTACTGATACACACACAAATACACATAAATATAGCCGTGTGTGCATCAAAAGCCCAGTTGAGACCTCTGTGTGTGGCAGTGGGATTTGATGGGTAAAAGTCTCCCTCTAGAGTGAGCAGTAGGGAGCAGGCTGTTTCCCTGCAGACCTCTAAAAGCCAGAATGCAGACATCTTTTGTCTGGGGCTCTTCGTTTCTCTAGCCAAAAGTCCTCTGATGCTTTTGCCTGGGGTTTGGATGCTGTGCATGCTTCTCTAGAGTGAGAGAGACGAGAATCACAGACTTGCGGTCAGTGCTTTTATTTTTAGCCCCACTTCTCCCTCCAGCCCTTCATTGTACCTGGGTTTTCCAAGTCCCAAGGAGCTCTGAGGTTTGGCAGGGTGGATGAGCTCCCTCTTGGCGTTGTGTTGCCCTCAGCAAGCATTCCAAGCTGTTACTTCCTCCAGCCAACTTTCTCAGTTACCACTTCATCCATTTTCCATCTTCTAGAAATTTGTCCCCCTTATCCCATCATTGTTATTTATACATTTTAGACCATTTTAATCCACGATCATTTAGGGGAAGCTAAACCATTTAAAAAATGTTGATATCATTTGATACAGTAGTACCCCTTTTAGAAAGCTGTCCTAAAGATGAATACAGTGATTTATATACTTGTCCATGTTGTTATTTTACAAAAAAATGGAAACAACCCAAGTGACTAACAGTAAGGGAATGATTAAATTACGATATGATGAATATTACGCAACCACTAAAAATAATTTAAGGGATCTTTAGTGATATAAAATGTTCACAATAATATTAAATGAAAAATGCAAAGTACAAAATTAAATAATGTGTAGAGAGAGCCCAGTTTTATTAAATCCACCTGCATAGAAAAGACTGGAAGGACATAAGTACATTGGGTGTTAACAGCGGTTAAGTTTTCCTGTGCTATCTACATTTTCTCCAATGAGCCTGAATTACTTTTATAATCAGGAGGGGAAAAGTTAATAAAAGAGAAAGATCATGGCTTGTTCAGAGTGGTGAGATGTTGTGGAGTGTGGAATGAGTAGTGAGGGGCAGCAGAATAAGAGTCTGGGGAAACGAGGTGCCCAGTTACCAAGGACCTAACACCCCACTTAGGAGTTCAGCAGGGGAATATGTGTAACCCCAGTGTTTGTGACATACAGTTGTGGCTGGACTGTGGAAGCCAAGCTGGTGAGAGGAGAAAGGAATCCTAGAGACCACACAGATAGCTTTTGTTAGAGTCCAGGAGAGACTATGGGATTCTGACCCAGGCAGTGGCAGGGAGCCACGGGAGAAGGGACTGATGAAATGAGCAGACCTTAAAGGGCATGGAAGATGGAGCAGCAGATTCCCAAGCCAGAAATGTGGGCCTCCACACCCTGGTGAGACATTACCTGTGACAAATGGAGCCTGGCCCAGGCCTGAGAGGCCCTGGTTTCCTTGTGCTTCAATGGGGCCTTCCTGTGTTCACAGTGGCTCACACCTCTGTGGTCTTGGGAGGAGGGTGGGGGGAGACAACCTAACCCCAGCAGGCTACTGGGCTACCCAAGTGCCCCTCCTGGCCAATAGCAAGGTTGTAACCACTCCATTAGTTGAAGGGTTCCTGTGTGCTGGCACAGTGCTAAATGCCAGATGTCCTTTATCTCATTTAATCCTCACCTGAGGAGGGAGCTGCTTTTATCCCCATTTTCAAAGCCAGTTGTCACAGTTGGGATTAGAATAACTCTGAGGCCAAAGCTGTGCTCCTTTCTCCCAGGCTGCTTTCTCAGTGTGCCTCCGGGGACTCCTCTCCTCATCTGCAAATTCTCTGTTAGGCTGGAAGAACGATGCTTGCCTGTGCTAAAAAGTGCAGTGGCTGGAAAGCAAACAGTGAAGAGTAAGTCTCCCTCCCAGCCCAGAGTGCCCCAGGAAGGAGTACCCCAGAGACAACTGTTGGAAATTTCTCAAGGATCCTTCCAGAGATGGTCCATTCATTTACAATCGTATGTATCCCCCTTTAAACACACACATACACACTCATACATGAGCTTAGGATACGCACTGTCTACGCCCTGCTTGTTTCACTTAGTGTGTCTTGCAGATGGTTCTTCATTAGCCTGTAAGAGCTACCTCATTGTTTTTTTCACTGTTGTAATATCCCATTGTATGGATGTACCCTGATGCATGTAGTGAGTGTCCTGTTGGTGGGGTTCTTTTCTCTGTTACCGCAAACAATCCTTTGCTGAATATCCCGGCACACAGTCCTTGGTATGTGTGCAACCTTGCAGAATAAATTGATAAATCAGAGGGCAGGTGCATTTGAAAGAAACTGTAAATTTGGTCCTAGAATGTGTATGAAAAGGCCCATTTACCTGAATCCTCTATAAGAATATTTGTTTTCTGATCTGAGAAATGAAAATCTCTCATATTTTAATTTGTGTTCAGTTATGAGTGAAACTGGATATCGAGTCCTGTGTTTAAAAGCCGTGTGTATCTTTTTTTCTGCGAATTGCTTGTGTTCTTTAGCAGATTTTCTGTTGGAGTGGTGATCCTTTTAAAAATTGATTTGTGTAAACTCTAGTAAAGAAACTACCTTCTTACCTGCCATATGTGTTGCAAGTATTTTCCCCAATTTATAGTCCTTTTACTTTAATTTTTGCTCTTTGGATATTTACGATTTAATGTCAAATCAAAGGCTTCCCCTCTTCAATATTATACATTTCTCCCATGATTTCGTCTAGTCTTTTGAGATAGGTTCATTTGAAATTCATTTTGGAGTAAGGACCAGTTGGGTCCTGGCCCGGCCGCCCGCCTGCCCCTTCTCCGGCGTCCAGCAGGAGGAACAGAGCAGGAGAACCACAATGAAGAAGACACCGCCCGGCTTCCTAGAGCTGCCGTGCGAGAGTCTGCAGCTGGGTTCTTCTGCCGCCCGGACCGGTTGACTGAGCAGCGCCTGGGCGCCGAGGGTTTGGGGTCTACGCTCCACGACCGACCGGACCGGCGGCAGCACCGCCGCCTCGCGCTCTGGTGGGCAGAGCAGGGGTCGCAGGGGCGGAAGCGGGGAGAGGAGGAGGGGCGGGGTGGGGAAGGCGTGCTGGGGATGGAGGAGGAGGAGGAGGGGGCCGCAGTCTGGGGCGAGGGAGAGGGAGGAAGCGGCTGTAGTCCAGCGCTCGGAGGGAAATCGAAAGAGGGGCTGCAGTCCGTGGTCGGCGAGGGGAAGGTGGAGGCTGCAATGGTGGTAGGGCTGGGAGGAGTGTTGGGGATGGGCAGGACCTGCAGGGGATGAATCCGCGATGGGGCTGGGAAAGAGCAGAGACGTGGTAGAAGGGGTGGCGGGCCGGGAGAGGGGTCAGACGGGAGCGGGGGGGGGGGGGGGGTGGAGTAGTGGAGTAGTTAGAAAAGGAGGGGCTCAGTCCAGGGCGAAGGAGGCTTCCTCCACGATCCTGGGACCCCGGTCCTGCCCTGCTCATTTCCTGGGCCTTGAGTGGGCGGGGCACGAGCCAGGCCTGCTGCTGGGGACAAAATTATTTTCGCAAACTTCCTGGTGGAGAAGAGGGCATTCTAGGCTGGCACTGCCCCTCACTTACCCCCAACCCGGGGCAAATCCCCAAGCTCTCTGAAAGTGGGTCCCTTCTGCCCCACCTCCACCCGGGGTGTGAGGCTGTGATGAAATGAGGGGTTTAAAATGGCTTTGTAACCATAAAAGGCTGCACTTTCAGGGGCTGGCCCGTGGCCGAGTGGTTAAGTTCGCGGGCTCTGCTTTGGTGGCCTAGGGTTTCACCAGTTCCGATCCTGGCCGCAGACATGGGGGGGGGGGGGGCGGTTAAGGAGAGGAAGAAGCAGAAAAAAAAAAAGGCTGCACTTGCAATGCACAGGCCTGCCATATTTCTACTGGAGGATAGGGTAGGCATGGCTTAAAAAAACCAAGCCTTTCTATTGGGAAAACTTTTTTACTTTCACAGTTCAGCATGGGGTGCAGTTCCTGCTGATTGCCTTACACGCAGGGATCTGTGGGAGAAGCTGCCGGGCAGCCTTTCCTTTTTTAATCCCCTTGGTGGTGGGCCCTGAGCTGGGCTGAGACTGGAGCCAGCAAAAGCTTCAGCCCAGCTCAGCTGACTCTTGCCACTGGAGCTGGGCTGGATTCCCCATCACCGCCGCTGAAAGTGTTACACCAAATCTACCTGGAGCTTAGAGGGTAATAAGCAGAGGCCTTGGCTGTTGAGGGGACAGGAAACAGGGGAGATGTGAAGTCATAACTCAGGTCCCAAAAGGTAGACTCTGTTTAGAGTAGCGTTCAAGGAGCACTGTGCTGAGGAAGGAGCCAGATGGTTCTGTGACCCCTAGGGCCAGAAGCAGCCATGAGGGGATATTATCAGGAAGTAAGAGTCTCTGGCAGGGTCTGGACCCAAGGCAGAAGCAGGAGGGATGGTCCCTGGTCCCGAAGAGCTGTGGGGGCTGGAGTGGCTTCCAGAGGCTGGGGTGGGCCGGAGCACCCCTCCTTCCTTCCATCCTGCTGGGCACTGCTGGGCCTTTGGAACAGTGGGTGCCCACTGTTGTGAGCTGTATTCACCTGGGCCTGGTCCCAAGGCTGGCCAGGTAACACTCTGAACCCAAAGAAGCCACCATCAGGAACACGTCAGGGTTTCCTCTCTGCCATCACTTCGGGTTGAGTGAGAATGTGATGCACACAAATGAGGACAAGCCCTATGAGCCTGAAGGAGGAGGAGCACCAGGCCTGTGGCTCTGGCCTTGGGAACGCCACCAGCAGGGCTGAGGGCGGGCATTTCCCATGCGAGTATGGTAGACTACAAGCAAAGGTGAGAGGTGGGAAGATGGGCTGGCCCTAGAAGAGGGTGGTACAAGGACCAGGGGTTGCTAGGGTAGGAGTTGGACTCATCTTCTGGCTCTCTCATAAGCCATTCTTTTTTCCCTCATGGGGCCTGGGACCTTAGCTATGTGAACCAAGATACACTCGGCTCGTTTCTTATTAACTCAGTGTCCAAGTGGCCAGCTCGTACTAAGTGCCAGGTGCCAGGCAGCCATGAGGGGCCTTTTAGGACCTGTTCTGCCTCTGACTAGTTGGGTCACCTCAGGAAAGTCACAAAATCCCGAGTCAATTTCCTCTCCTGCCCAGCCAGCTTCACAGGGTGGTGTGGATCAAAGGAGAGTGGAGCAGGACAGGGCTGTAAGCTGATCAGTCTTGTGGTATTGCTGTGATCATTAACCAGGCTGAGCTCCTCATCCAAGAAGAGAAGGTATGCTCTTTGGGAGGGATGCTTCTGCAAGCTGTATGGGGCCAGCATCCCCTCCGGTAGATGACTCTTCGGTATATGCCTTTTTTGCCTTCCAGCTCCAGACCTTCCCAGAAAGTTTGCCTTGGACTTATTATGGGCTGTCCCCACTGCCCACCAGTGAAGGGAATGGGAGAAGGTAGGGCCAGCACTTTGACCATTTTTAGCTTCCTCTCCCAAGGCCAGCTGTGGACTTTTTCTCCAACATTTCTTTCCAGATTTCAGATCCAGCCTGGTGACAACAGCATGAGATCTGGGATGAGAAACCCACCCTGAGAGTAGGGCCAGAGGCTCCTCTGACTTCAGCCCTCCAAGGCTACCTGCTGCCTGGGACCCACCTGGTTCCTGTCCTGGGGGCCACTGCTGGGGAAGTGCTGCTGGAGCTGAAGCAAGGGGCCTCAGCCAGGCTGGGTAAGGCTGCTTTCCACTGGCCTTGGCCTCCAGCCCTCCAAAATGTGGGTGATACTCTCTGAAACTCTCAGCAGAGTGGGCCTCTTGGGAACCCAGGCTTCAGGGCCTGGCCTCCCCTCAAGGCTGTCAAACAGGGTCCATGTGTCTCTGGAAAGACTGTTTTCCTCCTGGTCAGTTAGCAAATATCTCTTTGAGAATTACATCAATGTGCTGAGTTGTCAGTGGAGGAAGTCACCAGAATGTGACCCACAGCTCTGTGAGCAAACCTGGCTCTGGTGCCAGGCCAGGCTGGAGGCCACAAGGGATCTGTTTACCAGATGTGGCCAGCCCATCATAGCATCCCAATTTCACATTGATTAGACACGTTACTTTCCTAGGCTATGACCCCAAATCCTTTCTAATAACCCCAGTGAACAAAGAACCCAACAGATTCTCACCCCTTGGTTAGCTGTGGCTATCTGGCAGACAGAGTGGTCCTAAGGATGACTTTCACTACAAGGCTGGTTTTCAGAGCCTTCCTGAGCATTTTCCCAGATGTGCACTAGCACTAAGTTTTCTGGGGTCTGAGGGAAACAGGACAGAAGCATGCTTTACCTAACCTGGCAAATCTGAGGGCAGGGACTATGCCATCCTAACATTGTGTCCTCACAGAGACTTGATAAGTGCACCAGGTTAAGAAGGCTATAGGCATAATAGGATTCAGCTGTTGCCCTGCAGAAACTCATAGCCTAGTTGGGAAGATAAGATCAACACACGGGAAAGAGAAACCTAATTTGCCAAAGAAATGGGGATGGATGGCAGAGGTAGTCAAAGATAGAGGAGAGGGCAGTCACAGGGAGCTGTGGGAGGGATGGAAGAAGACTCCCTGAAGGAGGTGCGACCTGAGCCAGGCCCAGATGATGGATGGATGGATGGATGGGTGGATGGATAGGTAGGGGGGGGATGAGCAATTTTGGTGAGTAGAAAGTCAAGGATAAGATGCTCTAGGCCATGAGGAAGATGAGAGAAAAGACACAGAAGCAGGAAATAATTCTTGGGGAGCGTGAGCACAACCAGAAAGCTGAGGAAAGCCCATAAAGGGGTAGGAGAATGGGAGATAAAAACAAACTGAGGGGTAGGGCCTGACTGAGGCAGACCCTGGCCATCTCTACCCTCAGGAAAGTTGTCTGCTGTTCAGGAATCCGCTCAAAACCAGTTTGACCAGGTAGCACCCTTTCCCAGTGTTGGGCCTGAGTCTTTCCCTTCCTGGCTCTCCCATGCCCATAGGGAGAAACCTGGGCCTCTCTGCTAAGGAGCTTCCTTAGCATTGTCACACTTCCCTGCTTTTCCAGCTCTCCTGGAAGCAAAAGCCTGAGTTCCCTCTCCTGGACCTCCTCAAGCATTTCCTCCTTTCCTATTCCATTTCCTGCAGCTTTGCGCTGGAAAGGGGCCTGTGTGTGTTCCTCCGCACCATTTAGACGGTCAGCTGCTCTGTTCTCTCTCCCTGCCTAGACTAAGCTTGAGGGCTGTGAAGCTGGGACATACTGCCAGACCCAGGGCTGGCCTTGCCCCGAGAAGGGCCTCCACACCCTTCCTTCAAGCAGCTCCCTGTTCTCCTTTCCCTCCTTTATCTCATGAACCCCTGAGTTCTTTCTCAGGAGTTCTTGTCCTGCCTCTCTCCAGCTAGCAACTTGGTCAAGCTCTTTGACTCCTAGGACCCCACTGTCCACATCCGAGCCCTTCTCTGACTCCCCACTTGCTGCTTTGGCCAGTTCCCAAGACATTCTGTGTCTCCCCCACAGGCTGGGCAGTCCTTACATCATAGACATTGCCCTCCCTGGGCAAGTGTCTGGTGACAGTGCATTCCTGCCCCTTCCCCACAATGCAGGCTTTCCTTTACTGCCCTTTCTTTTCTGGTTTTTTCTCTACCCATACTCTGAAATCATGGTATATGTATAGAAAACTTCTGAATTTACGTCCTCTGCTCCTCCACTCCTGATGTTTCAGGAAGTTCACTGGTGTAATACTTGCGGCCTCTCTCTGACCCTGCACTCACTCTCGCCCCACGACAAAGAGGGGTTAGATTTGATTGGTGAGTTTGGAAAAGAAATGGGCTCTGTGAAAGCCAGTTCTCCCCAATTCGCTCCCTTGAGGCCCAGTTTCTCCACAGAGACCATGCAGCTGCCCTGTTCCTCTTTGCTGCAGGTGTTACAGCAGCAAACCATGGTAGCCCAGCACTGCATCCCTGGTGCCTGATGCCGTCTAACATGGATTCAGCATTAGTAACCCCACTTGCTTGCAGCTATAAGCCACATTCACCAGCATCAGCTTTTCAATAATAATGATGATATAGTTGTCTCTGCATATCTTATTTGTCAGTTGAGCAGAGAATTATACTAAAGCTAACACTTACCTATCTAAATACTTTAGGCATATTAATTTATTTAATTCTAAAAACATCACCATGGAATAGGTACTAGCATTAACCTATTCTACAGATAGGAAAACTGAGGCACAGAGCAGTCAATTAACTGCTCATGGCAGAAGCAGGATTTGCCTCAGGCAGTCTGACCCCAGAGACCAAACTCTTGGCCCCAATGTTGTACTGCTTCTTTAAAGAGGGATGTTGTTTATTGGGTTTCCTCAAATCCCAATATAGTCTCATGTTTCCCATCTAGGATATAAAGCTGACTGCATTTTTGTTTTTGCTATGTGTTATTTGTTTTTATCTTCTATGTCTTGTTTAGATATTGAGGCCAAAGTTGAAAAGGAGGGTGTGATTCTGGAGCAAACAAATCTGAAAGGAGACGTCTCTGAAAGACTCCAGGGCAAGATTCCAGAGGGCTATGTTTTCGGGGAAGCCAGAGAAGCGGGGAGCAGGAGAGCTGAGCATTCTGAACAGCCTGCAGACAAGAAGGTGAGGAGAGACAAGCCAAGCTCCCACCAGGTCCCAGTAAAAGAGAAGAAACACCTCCCAGGAGAGAGGCCAGGATCATGGAATGCACAGGAGGTGCCTGCCACAGCGCCAGCCTGGTGGCCCCCAGCAAAACTCTGTACAGTTGTACTGAGTGTGGCAAGGCCTTCGGCCAGAGCTCCACTCTCATTGTGCACCAGAGAATCCACACACGGGAGAAGCCATACAGGTGCGGGGAGTGTGGAAAGGCCTTCACACACAGCTCCCACCTGATCTGACATCAGAGGTTGCACACAGGGCAGAAGCCCTACATTGTGGCATGTGCGGCAAGGCCTTCAGCCAGAGCTCAAGCCTCATCGTGCACCAGGGTGTGCACACAGGTGAGAAGTCATCCGTGAGCCCTGAATGCAGCAAGACCTTCAGCCGAAGCTCTCACCTCCTGGTGCATCGGTGGAGCCACACCAGCAAGAGGCCCTATGAGTGCCATGAGTGTGGCAAGGCCTTAACCGGCAGCTCCTACCTCCTGGGGCACCAGCACATCCACACGGGTGAGAAGCCCTATCGCTGCACAGTGTGGGAAAGCCTTTGGCCAGAGCTCCCACCTTATCTTTCATAAGCCCACTCCTGCCCAGAGGAAACACCAGCCAGCCTCCCTGGTCAGAGCCCAGTGTTGATGGGGTCAAGGTTTCAGGTCTGACACTGGATCCAACCAAGAGGAAGCTGAGCCCTTATCATCAATCCATCTCTGTGCCAGGTGCTGCCAAATAAGGCTCAGGTGCTGCCAAATAAGGCTAAGGCAGGTTCCTGTGAGGGCCTCCATGGTCCTCAGAAACAAGACGCATACACATAAACAGAAATGACTGAAGGACCCTAGAAGACAAAACATGATAAAATGCTGAGGTGTGCGCAGAGAAAGAAAGATCCACGTGGAGGGGGGCATTGATGCGGCCTCATGGGCTGGCTCTGGGAGAACAGGTTGGCACTGGGTTGATGGGGAAAAACCCAGCGAGGGGACCAGAATAAGCAAAGGCCCAGGAATGAGTCTGAGTGGGCCTCAGTGAGGTGGATATGGGTCAGTGGGAGTGGCAAGCCTGAGATGCAAGTGGGGAGGTGGGAAGACTCCCCAGGTCAAAAGCCCTGATGTGTGGGTGCTGCAAACCAAAGCCAAGGTCTTTCCCTTAGGACTCGGCTTCCCATGCCAGTGTGACTCTGGGCGACCCACGAGGACTCTGAGCATCGCCTTCCTCAGCTGTCCAATGCAGGAGTTGGACCTGAGGGGCTTTGAGCTACCTTCTCACTCACCTGTGGTTTCAGGAGCTACAAAGCCTTTGTCAGAATGGGGAGTGACAGAAGGGAGAGGGAGGTATGGGGAGGATGAAACTAGTGGTGTTTCAGGGTCGGCAGATAAGAAAGGAGACAGGGAGACTCCATGGGAGGCAGCCCCGCAACGTGTTACTTTTGATTAAGCTAGGGTGAGATGAATTTCTGGCAACTGCCACCCGACCAGCCCTGACTTGCCTCCTCCCCTTGTACCTCCCACTTCACTCTCCCTGTCTCCCCACTGCTCCACCTGTGGCCCACATCCAGGTGGACACAGCTGCCGTAGTCACTTCCCTGGCCACTGTCTCAATGTAGGCCAAGGTATCGTGGTCTTCTCACCACTTAGCTCTGCTTTGTCCTTGTATCTGAAGCCAAACTCTTCTTTCTACTCCACTTTTGTCCAAGTGAAAAATTAACTTCCCCTCATTTTCACACCTGTAGTCCTTACCCAGGTCTTTGTCCAAGGCAACTGGCAGTTTTACACAGATGCCAAGTCTCATGCCAACCAGAGCCAAGGAGTTACACAGCCCGTTTCAGATGCTTGTTGTGTGAGCACACAGAATTAGCAGTGGCTCTGAGGAATGCCTGGGTTGGTGTGCTCACCCTATGCCTCCACTGAGTAAAGACACCTCTCTAACAAGGGGAGGCACCCTGCTTCTTGCCTGAAGATGTAACGGGGAAGTATTTAGCAAGAAAGGTTTTTCTCCTACTTTGGATGGCCCCTAAAATCCCAGCTGCCTGTGAAATGCCAAGCAGCCTGAGCCAACAGTCAAGCTCGCAACTGCAGTTCATCCCAGGCCTTCCCTGTCGTCAGAAGTCAGGCCGGTGACTGATCCCAGCGCGCCTGTCTTGCTGACTAGTGACTGAAAGGTGCAACATGCCTTATGCTGGAGTTGACCTGGAAGTAAATAGCCAGAGATATTTTGGGAGTCAACCTTCTAGTTTTGTAAAATCTCTAAAACTGACCCTCTGGGATTTGGACTGTGGATCCATACCTACAGAGGACCAGCTCCTGAGTTATCTGGAAGGCTGATGCTGAACTAAAGGGCAACAACCAGCATTACTATACATACTGATGTGTACTGATTTCCTACTGTCTTATTTTTCCTTTAGTCTGAAGGAATAAATCTCCTCTTGTATGAGCGGCAGATGGTTGAGAGGATTACTTTTTAAATTTTATACATACACATTTATCTGTATTTTTTTCTCTTTAAGGACAAGTCAGAGGAGGGGGAACAGGTTCTAAGACCAGGACCTCAGCCCTTAGCAGCCGGGTGCCTCTAGTTGAGAGAGAAGGCTGAGCTTTCCAAGAGACCCCCTCTAGGCATGTCCAATGTTCAAGGGTCTGAAATTCTGAGAGGCTCAGAGTCCTTAACCCACTGGACAGGATTTTATATTTCATCTTAAGTTCAGTCCACAGTTCTGGCTGTCAAGATCCCTTTTATTCATGATCCTGTCGTCCTATGTATCTTCTCTGCTCGGGTTATTCCCAAAGTCAGCTAAAATTTGAGAGGATATGACATTCCAAATGTCAGTACTGCTCAGAGTGAGCCTTCTAAGCTCCCCAACTCACAGTACACTAAAATTCTACATTTTGACAATCACAAATCTTCAAAGCAGGTGGGATCTTGCAAAATTGTCCAGTGAGGAATTGCTTAATGAATTAAAATTTAATCAGCACCTTAGATATGGAGAGTTCCTGAGTTTCTGGTCAAAATGGAAGAGGAACTTGCATCTACCTCTTGGAACTAAAACATCTGACTGGAGACACAGTCAAAATGAAGAGAATAAAGCAACATACAAGCAGAAGTGACTGTGTGGATCCAGAATGCCAGCGTGAATAGTTCGTGAACTCTCACCATCGTCCTAATATTTATGAGATGTCGGCCTAGGTGAGGGCAAGTGCACAAACATGGGGGTTAAACTGCCCCATCAACACTGGGCACTAACCCAAGCAGCTCGGCGAGCTTTCTCCCGGGCATGAGCTACCTCATGGAGAATAATATGGGAGCTCTTCCAAAGGCTTTTCCACACTCATCGCACTGATGGGGTTTCTCCCCAGTGTGGATCCTCTGATACACAATAAGGTACAAGCTACCACTGAAGGCTTTGCCACACTTCTTACACTCCAACAGCTTCTCCCTTGTGTGGATCCTCTGATGGACAGTGAGGCCTGAACTCTGACTGAATGCTTTCCCACACTCGCCACATTCAAAGGTTTCTCCCCAGTGTGGATGCCCTGACGAATTAGGAGATTTGAGCTCTGGCTGAAGGTCTTCTCACATTCCTGGCATTCATAGGGTTTCTCACCACTCTGGATCCTCAGAGATCGTACGAGGTGTGATTTCTGACTGAAGCCTTTTCCGTATTCACCACATAGAAAAGGTTTCTCCCTGGTGTGGATTCTCTGGTGCACGATGAGGTTTGCACTTGGACCAAAGGCTTTTCCACACTCCTTACATAAAGGGTTTCTCTCCTAGGTAATTTGCCCTCCTTCCTTGTCAAGGGCACTTCTGTCTCTGAGGGTAACACACCTGGAAACTTCCTTCTTGCTCTGGGCCCTGCCTGGCTCCCCTGCTGCCTCTCTGCACTCCCCTTCCCTCCCAGGGCTTCGTGAAGCCTGGCTGCCACAGGGCAACACGCTGAAGCCTCTCACAGCTGTGACTTGTGTTCTGACTTCTGAAACTAGCTCCTTCTCCTCCTCCCTGTGGACTCTCGAATGTAAAATACTTTTTGAGCCTAGATTAAAGCAGTTCTCAAATTCTTTACCTTTCTGGCTCTCCTTCTCTGGGGAGATTTCTGCATCCTTGACTTCTGCTGGCTTTAAGTTTCTGGTCCTTGTCCTCAACGTCTCCCTGGCAGGACTTCCCTGATGAATTTTCAAACTGTCATCCCAGTTTCTGAATGCTCCAATCCTGCAATCTTGGGGCTCATTATTCTGAAATTCTCTGGAGGTGATTCTGTGTACCTCTGTTTCTTCTGACACTTTCTGCTTTAGAACCAACTCTTCAATCTCAGATTTGACCTCATAATCTAACAAAAGATACAGAAAATAGAAAAATGTTATCTGTTTCCTATGGCAGAGACAAAACATCCTCAAGTGATACTAACAGATACTGTAGACATTCACAACATTCACACGTCTATAAAACAGCTACACTCTTCATGTGGCCACAGAAGAAAGTCAGCAGGCAGCCAGGAGGGAGGGGGAGAGGCAGCAGGGTCTGCATTCACACAGAAGGCAACAAAGGCTCTGGCGGGTCAGAAAGACCTCCTGATTTTTGGCAGGGAACAGGCCAGATTCTGGGACTTCTCACGCCTCTCCTTGTCTGTGTTGTTCTGTTTCTGAGCCAAGCTGCACCACAGAGCTGGGCACCTTCGGGAGTGCTGCTTGGTTCTCAAACAGCCAGCTGGAGCTCAGGAAGCTGACCTGTACTATAAGGAATTTAAGATGTAAAGACCTGGGGGAAGTACTCACACTTCTGCTGGAAATGACCTTGGAAAGGGAGGCTGGGCCTGTAAGTGGCAGCAATGGGACAAAGGTCATATCCTTTCCGGGCTTTTTCCCTCCTTCCCCTTTTTTCTCTTCCCATTTCTTCGCTTATACGTTCTTTCCCACCCCTCACCTCTCTTCCTTTCTGCTTTCCCTCTTTTCGTCCCCCATTTTTTTCTTCCTTGCCACTTGTAATTCTTTCCATTCCTCCTCTAATCTCCATTTGTACTTTAAAACTTTCCTCTCTTGTTCCTGCTTTGGAATAAACTCTCATAACCTCTCATTCTCTCTGCCATAACCGCTAGGGTCAGCCCTACACTTGTTGAAGAGAACCTCTCACCTACTCAGCAATTTGTTCTGGTTTGGGGAGCCTCACAATTGGGGGAGACTTCCAAATGTAGGTTAAGGTATCCTCCTGAGCACAAAGACAATGCAGAAAGTGAGTTCTCAGGACCATGAAGATGTACTAGAAAATGTAGAGGGGAGGGGCCTTAGGGCTCCATGCTCACAAGTTCCTGAGGCTGCAGGCCCTCCCCAGCACTGAGGGTCAGCAGAGACCCCAGTGGCTCTGCAGAGCCAGGCAACCCCGAAGGGTGAGGGTGACAGGGGCCGCACCAGGCCATCCCCATCAGGCTCCAGCTGCGTGTTCCAAGAGGCTTTCAGAGCAGGCGCTAAGTAGGGCCCACATGAGGAGCAGCTGGCAGCAAACAGACGCAGAAACTCTGGGCTCAATCCCAGAGCTGTTGCCTCTGGCTTCTGTCCACTAGCCCTTTCCCAAAGATAAGCAGATTTTTTGGGAGTGCCCTGTGGGAACTAGAAGCTAAACCCTGGAGGAGAGATGACAGGGTCAGAGGACAGGAAGGGGGTACCATATTGCCTTTAATCCGCACAGCTAGGAGCATCTGGGACTAAGAGGAGGGCTGGTGTTCTCCTTTCATTGCAGGTTAGCAACTGCATGGGGTGTGGTGAAGTGGTCTGTCCACACTCTGCAGCATGCAGACGGCAGAGCTGGGCCCAGAGCCCAGGTCTCCCCCTGCCTGTGGATCTTTACAGTAACATCCTCAGACTTCCATCACATGGCTGTTCCCACTTACCAGCACCCTCAGACTTCCCGGCACCCCCCTCCGCCCATGTCTGCTCCCTGACTGTCAGGTAGGGGCCATGTCAGCCACTGAGCCTCAGAAAGGATCCATTCCTCTGGAAGTATGGGGCTTGAGGAAAAAAATCCTAGAGTTGTCCTGTCTCTGAAGCTATGGAGGGTTGTAAAATCAAGGAGTAAAAACTGGAGGGGCTGGCCCCGTGGCCGAGTGGTTAAGTTCGCGCGCTCCGCTGCAGGCGGCCCAGTGTTTCGTTGGTTCGAATCCTGGGCGCGGACGTGGCACTGCTCGTTGGACCACGCTGGGGCAGCGTCCCACATGCCACAACTAGAAGGACCCACAACGAAGAATATACAACCATGTACGGGGGTGCTTTGGGGAGAAAAAGGAAATAAAATAAATCTTTAAAAAAAAAAAAAATGGAGACCAGACCTTATTTACAGAGTCAGAAGCTCTTATCCTCTCTTCCCCAGGGAATGGTGAGGATGGGAAGGAGGGCAAGACACATCTCTCAGGTATGCTCTGGATTAACAAAAAAAGGTATTAGCTAGCTAAGAGCTGCCTGTACCTCAGGAACTCACAACCAAGTGGGGTGACAGTTATGTAAAGAGATAATTAAAGTATAAGTCAAACTGAGATAAGGGAAGGCTGGTGAGGGCAAGACTGCTTACAGCTCAGGAGGACGTGAGAGCAACTGCTGAAGGCTTCCTGAGGGAGGTGGCATTTGAGTTGGGTTTTGAAAGGAGGTGGGATTTCAAAGGGTAGAGAGCTTGGACACGGCATTCCAGGTAAACGAAGCAAGATGGGCAAAGACACAATGGTGGGAAAGCAGAGTGTATTGGGGGAAGACCGTCAGTGTCATTTGGGGTACAGTGGGAGAAAAAGCTGGAGCGGTCAGAGTCAAATCAGGCGGGGCCTGGAACGTCAGACCAAGGCCTTCAAACTCTATTTAAAAGGTCTGGAATTTGCACAGGGCAAGTTCCCCCTGGTGTCTGAACAACAGAGAGCCCAGAGATTTCTGTTGGTTCTTTAGGGAGTCTTAGGCCATTCTTCATCTCCTGCAACTAAACTGCTGCCCTGACCTCCTGAGAACAGGCCTGTCTGGAGATCACCACTTGTCACCCTGGCCTGGGTCTTGACCTGGCACCAGGCATCCCTGTTTTCCTCCTCCTCCTTTACTGTCCCAGGTCCTGCCTCTAGGAAAAGGGTCTCCCTCACTGCAATGATTGTTACCATACCTCTCGCTCTGGTGAGGACCGACCCTGGGGAACCTCCTGAACTTCACTGGTCCTGGACAGGCAGAGAGTGGTCACCTAAGGAGAAAGACATCAGAAACCATTGGTGACAAAGAGAAATGCCTAGCCAACGGCCCCCAGGGCTCTGGGTCCAGCTAACCAACATGCTCGTAAGAGCTATGCCCTGAATGTCAAGTTCAAAGAAGAGTCTGTAGCTGAAACCAGCGTAGTTTGCCAAAAACTTGCTTAGCATAAGCTCCCCTTCCTTTTTATTCACTCTGGCAATTGTTCATAAATTCCGGTGTATAAGATCCAGGGCTGCTCTGGTGAAAGCATGAGCAGCAGGCCCAGAGTCTACCCGCTTAGCTACCTGACAGTCTTGCTAGGAGGTCCCAAAGTCACCTCTGCAGATCCCTGCTGGACTTGGTTAACTCTCTAGTCGCTTCTAGCCCTCATTTTCTAGGACTGCTAGAAATATTTAAAAACAAAAACCCCGGCTCTAGGATGACAGAGCCCTCTGCACATCTTCTCTGATAATACACACTAGCTGGCCTGACAGGCAGACAGCCCCAAGAACAGCAGACAGGGATTTTCCTCTCTTCCTCTCCATCGAGGGGGCCTGGTTTGGCTCCTGGCCCCAGTGCCTAGCAGGGCCAAGGGACAGGTGACTGTGGGAAGCTGACACTGTCAGTGTTTCTAGAGAAGCGGCTGATGAGGGAGGCTAGGGGGAGAAATCAGAACATTGTAGGAAGGAAATCATACTGGCTCTCAAATTTCTGAATATCTGGCAAATATTAAGAAAAACACAAGAAAAAAGGGACAAGTTTTCCCATCAATTCCCCCACTTTGCTTTTCAAGCTGATGCCAGCGATGGCTTTACGTTCAGTGTCTATTTGGTCAGGAGACTTATCACGTTCCCCCCAGGGTGACGACAGGCCTCACATGGTGAGAGTTCTGTGGCATGTGAAGACTAACGTGATGAGGGAGAATGAAGCTTCTGGCAAGAGGTCGTGTTTGAGGGCAGTTCTCAAAGGAGTAGGTATCTCCGTTCCTGGCCAAAGCCAAATCTCCCCCCTGAGCTCTGGATCCATCCTCCAGGTGCCCCAGAAAACTCCACTGTCCCCCGCTCCCCCCTGCACGGCCAGCCTCTCACTCTCTCCTGAGTCCTTCCCCGCTGCCTGTAAGCATGCTCAAATCTCACTGACTCTAAAAACCACCCTCCCTTGACATTTGCTTCTCCCATCCTCAGGCCTCAGCTCTTTTCCTCTCTTCTCATCCAGACCTTGGAAAAGAATAATTTGTACTTCATCTTTCAGGCCCTCCTCAATCCACTGCCAACTGTCTGTAGTCCCAACTGTTCTACAGAAATGATTCAAATGCCATCCTAATTGTCAAGGCTAAATGTCATTTCTCAGTCCTCTCATTTGACTCTTATGTAGGATGTAAACCATTATAATCCCCCTAAACTGCTTTACTGACTTCCATACCCTTGAATGACAATGTCCCAAGGACTCCATCTGAACTCATTTTTTCCCTTACTCTAGCTCTTGCTAAGGTAGAGGTTAGACTCAGAACTTTAGGGGCCAGGCAGGGAATGTAAAGGAGTAAAACAAGCAGGACTATATAAAACAACAGTGAGGAGTGAGGAGTGAGGTGAACTGGAGCGTGCATGCCCATCTGGGGGAGCACCTGCTGCTTGCTCGAGTCCAACGCCTTACGGGAATGTGAGCCAAGATTTCCCAGCCTTTCAAGAAACACCACAAATCTAGATTTTTACGTAGCATCTAATGATGAAAGGCAGGCAACTAATTTAACTTTTTAATAGATATAGTTATTACCCCTATTACACAGATGAGGATACTGTTATTCTTTTCTTTTCTTTTTTTGCTACAGAAGATTCACCCTGAACTAACATCCATAGCCAATCCTCCTCGTTTTTTGCTTGAGGAAGATTAGCCCTGAGCTAACATCTGTACCAACTGTTCTCTATATTTTGTATGTGGGATGCCTCCACAGCATGGGTGATGAGTGGAGCAGGTCTGCACCCAAGATCCAAACCCACAAACCTGGGCAATCAAAGCCAAGTGCGCAGATCATTTGGCTATGGGCCTGACCAGTAATTTAATTTTTTAAAAAAACAGTATAGGACAAATAAAGCACATTAGTGAGTCCGATCTGACCCATAAGCCTCAAGTTTGTGATCTCTGCCCCAAGCTCTGTCATTCACTCTCATGGTCACAACCATCACCTGTTAGTTTATGACTTCCAAATTTTACATCTGATCAACTTTTTCCCTAGCCCCAAAGACATCTACACATGTTCAAAGTTGAGCTGATCATCATTCTCCTAAAAAATACGGCTGTGCTTTCTTTTTTTCTTTTTGTGAGGAAGATTGTCCCTGAGCTAACATCTGCGGCCATCTTCCTCCATTTTGTATGTGGGACGCCTGCCACAGCATGGCTTGATGAGTGGTGTGTAGGTCTGCACCCAGGATCCAAACACACGAACCCAAAACCTTGCCACGAAGCAGAGAGTGCAAACTTAACCGCTAGCCACCAGGCCGGCCCCTAGCTGTTCCTTTTCTGTTTTGTTTTCATCTCGGTAAACAATACTATCACCGATCCTGTCACAAACCAGAAAGGTGAGATTCTTACCTTCTCTCCCTCCCTTACGCTTCAGTGGCAATTCCTCTGTGACACAGCCTGAAAGGAACCACACAGCCTGGGCTCCCATCCTGGCTCTGCCATTTACTAGCTATTTGACCTTAGGCAGATTAACCTCTCTGAGCCTCCGTTCTTCTTAAGGGAATAATAATACGTAGTATCCACATCATAGAGTTATAGTAAGGATTAAATGAAGCAAGCGTTTAGAACAGCGTGTGGCACACACTAAGCTATACACAGGCATTTACTATTGTTTACCTTTTTAATACTCCTTAAATCTACCCCTCTGACTAGTGCTGTAGTTCAGACTCCCCCACTCTGTCAGATCAGTGCGACCATGCCCTGACTGCCAACTCCACTACGCTCCTCCTGCCCCACCCCGATTTCTAGGCCCCAGTTCACCCCCAATGACAAACCCTTCAAGAAGCCTACAAAACACTTTCCTCCTCAAATCAAGTGCACATGAAGCCCCAGCGCTGGGGGCCGCGGGGTCTCCTGCCCGTCCCTCCCGCCCACCGCAGACCCCGGCCCGCTGCGCCGACGGGAAGCCCGCTCGGCCCCGGCGCGGCGTCCTGGCCTCCTCCAGTCCAGTCTCGCTCGCTCGCCAGGCCTCCGGGGCGCCCCGGCCCGACAGGCCCAGAAAACACCACGTTGGCGACTCGCGGAGCCTCAAGCTGGACCCCTCACTCTCAGGATTTACCGGAGATGGGCTGGCCGGAAGTGGGGCTGGAGAGCCTCTGGGGACCCCAGGGGCCGACCGCTCTAGGAATCTCGGAGGGCTTCTGATCTCGACGCCTCCCTGCATCGGTCGCCCATATTTGAATGGAAGCATCACGCTGGTCTATGCCAATTTAAAATCTGCAGTGTTGTCAATTGTATCTCAATAAAGCTGGGGAAAAAATCTGCCCTGTGTTTGGGAGTGGGAGAGCAATCTGCCATCTATCGGGAGAAGACAGAGAGCGTAGAAAAAAATTAAAGGTCTTAAGGACTGACATGTCTCACCCTATCTTTTACATAGTGAAAACACCTCTTTACAGCTCCCATTTTGGGGATGTACTTATAGACGCCTTCCAACATGGTAGAAGATTCAGGTTGCCTCCCAAAACAATGCCCTTCGACGCACTGGAGTGGCTCGAAAGGGTTTGGGTAGGACTGTGAAGCTATTACAAGGATTCTTGACTTAAATAAAAAACAAATCCAGACTGGGGCCAGCTGGTTGTGCAGTGGTTAAGTTTGTGCATTCCGCTTCAGGGGCCTGGGGTTCGCTGGCCCGGATCCCAGGCACAGACCTACACACTGCTTATCAAGCCATGCTGTGGCAGGTGTCCTACATATAAAATGGAGGAAGATGGGCACAGATGTTAGCTCAAGCCAATCTTCCTCAGCAAAAAGAGGAATTGGCAGCATGTGTTAGCTCAGGGCTAATCTTCCTGGAGTGTGGGGGGGGAAAATCCAGATTTAGATAAGGAGAGACTATTCAAAAGGACATTGCAATTGGGGAAAAGGTACTATGGTTGCCACAAAATTGGGGTTCTCTGCCCAGTGAGCATAAACAAGCCAATTAATTACAGCATCAGCCTTTGGGAAAAGAGATCAGCTTTATTATGTGAGATGGATCTCCAGGGAGAATGGTGAGTGTGTACCCTCGGATCTGTCTCTCTGATGAGTATTTGGGACAAAATTTAAGAGGTTAGGGAGAACAGGCTGACACATGGAAATGCTGGTGGGACAGGTTTTGACTGGTGGGCTTCAAGCATTTATGGTAAGGTTTTAAATATTTATGACAAGGTTCTAAACATTTATGATGAGGTCATAAACTTTTGTGATAGCGTTCTAAACATTTTTGATGAGGTGGGGAAGGAACTTTAACATCAGGTCTTCCTGAATGAGGGACCCCTCAATTCTGATGAGTCTGACTTTCAAGTTCTGCTCGTGTCCCAGCCCTTGGGTTCCATGGGAAAGAGGATCTTTGGTTCCTCAGTCATTTCAGGTCACAATTTCTTCTTTTGTGCATGCCCTGGCTACATGACTTTGCAGATTTTCTGAAAGGCAATTCTTAATCACTCTGTTGATGAGATGGGGTTAGTTGAACTGGTCCTGGGGGGCCTGTGGTTGCACTATTGCAATAGAGAGAATTCTTGAACCATAAGATCTGCAAACATCTCAAAGGTCAGGCAAAAAGGAATTTTCTTTTATAGTTGAGAATAAACAAGGCTGGAAAGAACTTGTGTGACAGAATGCATGAGCATGTGTCACAATTGGCCTAATGATCAGGAATGTCTTTTTTTCATATCAGCTGATTCTCAGGAGGAGCTATTATAAGAAGGCGGGGTTGTTCCACATTCTGTTGCTGGCACAGACTGAGGATAGTTCAAAATGTAGGGGCTTGGGGTGGAGAAGTCTAACTAAAGTTTGGTCAAATCAAGTTAGCAGATATTTTGTCCACATTGGTTAGTGGGTACAAACAGTTCAGCTAATCACTTATGAAGCAAAGAATTCAGAGGGCCTCTGTCTGGTCTTGTCATTGGTAAGCAAGGAGGGGCATCTGTGAGTCTTATCTAAGTCGTATGAGGAAGGGTGGGCTTCGCATGCCAGTAAGTCATTTCCTGGAACAATAAGAGTGGGAGAATTTCTTTTTTTTATTAAAGATTGGCACCTGAGCTTTGCCGATCTTTTTTTTTTCTTCTCCCTAAAGCCCCCCAGCACATAGTCGCACATTTTAGTAGTGGGTCCTTCTAGTTATGGCATGTGGGACGCTGCCTCAGCATGGCCTGACAGTGGTGCCATGTCTGCGCCCAGGATCCGAACCAGCGAAACCCTGGGCAGCTGAAGCGGAGTGCATGAACTTAACCGCTCAGCCACGGGGCTGGCCCTAAGAATTTCTTAATTGTCACTATTTTCCAGGAGCAGAGGTTCAGGCAAAGTTTAACACTGTCAGACTCTTGGAGAAAACCAGATTATTCTGTGTTGGTTGAGAGACTGAATATACAGACAATGGCCAGACCATAAAAACAGTTCATAAAAATAGAACTCTGACCCAAAATTGGCAGCATGCAGCCCAGCAAACCAACTCATTATCTACAGTAACCAGCCCAGGAAGCCAGCCTACTGTCTACAAATCAAACTTGTGAGATGTCAGACCACCATCTCTAGCAAACAGTCCAGAAAGCCAAACAATAACCTATGTAACAATCGGCCCCAAATGACCAGAACTTGACTAATAACTTATAGCATTCTTAATTGTTGTCCCTGCTTCCAACTTAGGACCAACCAAAGAAAGCCAAATATGAACCCCTAACCAATCACATAGGATGTGATGAGGATTTTTAGGCTGGTTACTTTTAAAACTGCAGATGAGAAGCAGGCTCCGAGGACTGGAATTTTGCTTGCTCTTTGAGAGACATTTGCATTTGTGAAGGAAGGGGGGATGACCTTGTAGGGACCTGAAATTGGCCACCCCAGGATATGTCTCTTTGGCATCGGGATTGTTTGGGGCTGATTGCTTTTGATAAACTGGGACAGGCAAGGAGGCTCTGGGGAGTGGAACTTGCCCTTGTTGGGACACATTTACATTTGTAAGGTAAATCTCTATCTGTAAAAGGCGCCTCCCTCTCTGTACCAGGAAGAAGAAGAGAGATGACCTTATCCCTAGAAACTCTTAATGGGGAAGGCAAGAACTTAAGGTGGTTGCTGTCTGGCAATCTCATGTAACTGGTTTAGGGTGGTGACGTCTAACCTTTCTAACCTTTACTTAATCCAATTTGATTCTTATCTAAAAGTTGTGGGACCACCAATGGCCAGACCCCACCTGCACTGATACCATTTTAACTTTTTTCCATGTTCTTTCCTTTGTCTTGGTAAAGAGATGACTTACATACCCATGCCTTATAAAATTAGCCCTAACCCTCAACTCGGGGCAGCAGCAGGAGCTCTGACTGCCCCTGGGTCCTGTCCCCACACACCAGCTCTGCCTGCCCATGGGTCCTGTCCCCATGCTATTCCACACTATTCTCTAAATAAAAGAGCACTACTGCCAGATCTTGAGAGTCTAAGAAATCTTTCTTTCGACTCCTCGGCTCACCGACCCCGCATCAGGATGCATCACTTCTAGTCAGCCTAAAGTTTCCCCATACCAACAGACTTCAATCAGGGCATACTTGAAGCCTTTCCATTTTTCCACTATGAAGCTTTCCCACTCTCCTGCCTGCCTTTGAGTCTCTGCCCAATGCCAGTGACGGTGGCTGTCTCCCTCGCTATAGCAAAATCTGAATAAATGGACTTTGTCTGTTTTCATTTGATTGCTATTCATTTATTTCTATGTGGCATGTAAAGGAGAAATATTAGATCAAAAAGAAAACATCCAAATCTGATCTTATTGTTTATCACAACTCTTAGTGCAAATGCCTTTTAAAACTGTTGTGTGATAGGTTCAAGGAAATACCTAGAGAGTTGGAAGATATATGAGTTATCCTCAGAATTAAATTATGAAATGATCACTTAGTTGAGTAGAGCAGAGCCTATTCTTGGTTAATGTAGCTCAAATAGCCAAGATTTGTCAGAGAGTCTCTTGCCCAGGTCAGGGCATCTTCTCCTCTAACCAATTGACCTAAGTAGCTGGGCCCCTTGACTGGCATATGTATAGAGTAGGAACCAATTCATCAGCCTTCATAGCTTGAGACCCTCATCATGGAGATCATCCACCTCACTTATGTAGTTCCAGGTTCACCAGGCAATTTGTTTTCTCATTCAGCTCTATGTATAAGTTTAAGATTAAGTTAGTTTGAGAATAAGAAATAACAGTGGCATAAAAATGTAGAAATCTATTTATCTCATTCTGGAAAGCTCAAAGGTAGGCAACTCAAAGTTGACATAGCAGCTCTGTTCCACAAAGACCTCAAGGAAATAAGTATCAAAACTGACTTTAGTGGAGCCATTTTAAAATGGAGTCTGGCGGGGGGGCCAGCCCGGTGATGCAGCGGTTAAGTGCGCACATTCTGCTTCCGTGGCCCCGGGTTTGCCGGTTCGGATCCCAGGTGCGAACATGGCATCGTTTGGCAAGCCATGCTGTGGCAGGCATCCGCATCCCACATATAAAGTAGAGGAAGATGGGCACGTATGTTAGCTCAGGGCCAGTCTTCCTCAGCAAAAAGAGGAGGATTGGCAGCAGTTAGCTCAGGGCTAATCTTCCTCAAAAAATAAATAAATAAAATGGAGTTGGAGCTGCCTTTCCAGAGAGATTGCCATGCTATCTTGAACCTTGGACTGCACAAAACCTTTGGACTGGGCCAAAATGACAATTGTTTTACAAGCAATTGTTTGAGATGTCAGCAGCAGAATGGACCTTCTGCTCACAAAGACAGATGATTGTGGACTTTCTGAAGATAGAATCAATAGTCCATCAATGTTTAGCCAAGACTAGCTCTCTGCCTTCAACTTCAATTAAAACTCTTTGTAATACAGCCTTCCTTCTTTGCCTTTAAAAGCCCCTGACTTTTACTCCCTGGCAGGACAGTATTTGGGTTTCTACCTGCATCTGTGCTCCCTGAATTGCAATTCTTTGATCCCTAGTAAAAGCTTTGCCACTTAACCTGGTTTCTGTTTTTGTGGGTTGACATGAGCTTCCTCAAGCTCTCCACTTCGCTAAACCTAAGATATGACACTTATCCTCATTGTTCAAGCTACTGGGCGCTATGGACTGAATTGTGTCCCTCCCAAATTCGTATATTGAAGTCCCAACCCCCAGTCTGGTGGTATCTGGAGACGGAGCCTTTGGGAAGTAAGCAGCTTTAGATAAGGTCATGATGGGATTAGCGCCCTTATAAAAAGAGACACCTGAGAGCTTGTTTCTCTCTCCAGAGAGAACACAAGGAGAAGG